CGTACAAATAGATATAACACAATAGGATTACAACACTTGACTCAAAATAATGTATGGCTGCCATCAGATATTTCAAGAAATGGTTATACTCTGTGACCATACGGGTCAGGTCGTGATGTGATCGTATAATCCTAGTCTGGAACTCATTTAAGTCACTCATACATAGCATCAAACTGTTTAACTGTTCAAACCTTAATTTCATGTAATAGACGACAAAAAATATGAATCCATAGACAAATACAACTATTGACATAATATGTATGGTCCATACGGTTAATATTATAAACCATATGATTAAAACAATTACCGAAAAATTGTAATCATTGTTCATATAAGCTATTAAACTATACAAACCATATACCAAAGCAAATATAATGGGACACTCCTTATTGATTAGTTTAAGCACAATATAATTAATTATTTTTGATATAAATGCTAGCCGTTTAACATTATGTACATTCAGACCATTGCCAATGTCATCATTTTTCAATGATATTAATTTAAATATGAAATCTAATTTATTATTATATTTACCTAAAATTTTTTTTAATTAAGTTAATTTATTTTTATAATTATTACTTTAAAATTGTTACCCAAAATCAGTATAGTTCTCAAAACTGATCCAAACAATGATATCATAAACATATTCATATTAAACAAAATCCTATCTCCCGTACAATAAAACGGATCTCCAATTAGTGTCCAAACATATGTATTAGTATTAATTGCCCCAAATAGCCAACGAAATGTACAAAACCAACAAAATATACAAATATATAAAGATTTTGATTTTGCATTTGTATAGTTAGGTATTAAATGATTTGTTTTGATAAACGATTCAAAATTACAAAATAACATATTTCTAAATGTAAATAAATATAAATATTAAGAAAATAATCAAGAAATCAAAACTGTTATATCTTAAAAATTAATAAAATATTTTTTTTAAATTATTAAATATTTCAGCATTCAATACAAACGAGTTTTACAAATTATATTATACTTAATTAAATTTATTCAAAATAACTACCAAAAAAATCACTATTAAAAATACACTATTTTAAATTAATTAATTAAACTAAATTATTTTCTCACATTTTTTTTAATATATATATATATATTTATGTGATATATAACATTAGAATTCAATATAAGAAAACTGTTAATAAAAATAATAGACAGTATTGCATGAGACAATACAATATTTAATTTTAATAATATTAGGTAAGATAATAATAATGATAATTATATGATTTCAATGCAATGTTATTAATATACATGTACTAATATAATATAAATTACATATAAAATTATATTATAAAAGTAATCAGTATTACAAATGCTTATTTTTATTTTTAGTATAACTTTTATATATTAATAAATAAATAAAAATTATGGTATATCTATACTATATATTCTATAGTATATATATATATATATATAGATATATATTAATAGATATTTTTGTATTATGAAATTAAAAAATATTTAATGTTATTATTATATTAAATTATGATGCTATTAAAAAATAAAGCTATTGTAATAGTTAAAAATATATATAATTTAATTGCAAAAAACTATTCTAATAAATATGTGTTGTTAACTATTTTTAAGATTATTTAATCCAATAACTATTTTAAGTGATGAATAACTTAATTTTAGAAATAATAATTAGAAATATTATCACAATAATTTATAGTATATTTTATTTTTATGATTTCATAAAATGCATATAAATAAATATTTAAATAAATATTTTGCTAGTTTTTAGTAAATATTTTATTGAAAATTATCTTTATATTTAATTAATTATATATATTTATATTGTCTCATTTATTATAATTGTTTTTGTTTATTTTCAAGTTTGCTATTGATTATTTTCTATTGAAATCCTATGTTTTTTTATATTTATCTATTGTAGATGTATAGTTATTAATAATATATTATCATAAATAATTGTATATAGAAAATTAGCTTATATTATAAAATAATATTAAAACATATATACTAAAATTTATAGCTAATTTTTGTTATCATTATTTTTCATTATAAATTATTATAAAAATAAAATAAACATTTGAATTACGGATTTAATTTGTTTTAATATATTTATACAATAGAGATAAATATAATAACAGTCAATAAAATCATTTTACAGAATTTCAGAATTAAATACTTAATATATATAATTCAGATTTATAAATTATTATATATTTAATATTTACAGTACTTATATATTATAAATTTGTACTTAAATTTTACTAATTTTTAAAAAACTTGCATTAAGTAATTTTTATTAATTGTTAAATACTTATTTCGCAAAAATCTTATCTTAAATTTAATAATGTTTATATTTTATAATATTTTAATTATAAATATGCTTATCAATGCATTTAAATAAACGAAAAACAAAATAATATTTTTTAGTTTTTGCTTCCAAGTATTTAAAACATTTTTCAAATTTTAATTAGAAAATTTTTATATTTAATTAAAATTAAATTAATGCTGTAATAATTTTTTTAAAAATTCTAACAGTTATTTAAAAAATTATGCAATTATATTTTAAATAATAAATAAAATAATCAATATAATTTATTAATAACTTTTAATTTTAAATAAAAAAGAAGTTTACCCTGGATTTATAACTAAAAACTACTTAAAGTATAACATATTTGAAAATTTGCAAACATTATATGCATAGTATGATAATCATATCATATATTGAATATTATAAATAACATTTAATATGCAAATTTTTGGCAAGAAATTAATAATATCAACGAACACTATCTTTTAAGGTCATATAAAATAAAAATAAAAAAACAATTTGCAAACAGTGTGCAAAAGTTATAAATTGATTGTTACTTTTAAAAAATTGTTATAAAAGACAGTATTTATAATATTAAATGTTTCATTGTTTAATAAATTATCAATTTTGTTGTCTCCGGGATAAGTATTAGCCTTCAGATTCACACTAATTGATAGACAATTTAACCATAAAAAACATCAAAAACTAATTTATAATAATATTTGCTGTTATAAAATATTTAATCCTTGAATTATTCAAAGTAGATTGATACTAAAAATAAATTATATAAAATATTAAATAACATATAATGTTATTAATATATTAAAATTTATTAGATTTAGCATAATTAGAAAAATATTTTTATTTTCACTATTTGAACAAAAAAAATTAATATGTCTACTGTAGTATAATTAAGCAAAACAATTCAATAATAATTTACAATCACAATATTATAGAAAATATTTATTAAAATAAAATTTTGATTACATTAATAATTGTTTGAACTTTTATAATAACTTATATAATTAATAAATAAGATTAATTAATTACTAAACTAAACTAGATGTACTATTATAAATTAAAATTTTTATTAAAATATACTAAAAATATTAAATATACAAAATATTAAACTGTCTAAAACATGAGTTATAAACTTAATAATTTCTACGGGTTTACTTTGGTATATGCATAATTATTTTATTTAATTTTTTTTTATGTACTACACGTGCTTATCTACAAAACATAACTGTACAATAAATAAGAGTAAAATTATTTTTAAAATGAAGTAATCAATGTAATCATATATATATATATATATATAGTTATATATAATTTTAGAAAAAAATTGTTAATATAATTATTGAACAAAAAAGTTATTAAAATAAATAAATAAGCAAAAAATAAAAATAAAATTTATTATACTGTACAGAAATTAATTGCGAAATTAATTTAAAATAACTTGTTATCGATATACACGAGTTTTATTATTATTATTATTCCGCGATTAACATATCATTTATTGCTTAATAACATTGATATTTAAATATTGATATTCAAAAAATATATTAATACGAGAATATCAATATAGGAAACACTGATAACAACGTGTCTTAATTTGAAATTAAAATAACAACTTATGTACTAAATATTAAACAACAATTTGTTTTATATGAAGACTCATTAAAATATTTAAACATTAACTAAATTAACAGTCAAAAAATTAATTATTAGAGTGCAAAATAAATATCAGATTTTTTTTTTTATTTCCGATTTATATATTTAATACTAAACATACTGTTTATTAGTTTCACAATATTTCACAAATAGATGACAAATAAAATATTACCCATTTTCTCTTTTAAGTACAATATTTTTATTTGTCAGTAAATTTTCAGAATCATCCAAAAAAATAAATAAATAAATAAAATATATTATATATTATTAAAACATTGCCAAAGAAAACATGTTTTCAGCGAAAAATTCCATCACTCGTTAAATTCATGTAAAAAAATCCTGTATCCAAATGGTAATAAACTCAGGATATATATATAATGTATATTTTAAAATATATACAACTTTTATGTATGTATTACTTGCACCCATTATAAACGACAATACCTGTACAAGTAGGTTAGCATAACATTTTGCACAAAAAATATATATTTAAAAAAAATAATTTACACAAAAAAACTCAAGGGATGATCAGAGAGTTTACATTGATTTTAGGTTTTAAAAAATCAATCCTATCTTTTCATTTAATTGATTTTAAGAAAAAAATTTTCGTACTACACGTGTTAATCTACTAAAAACATATACCATACCTATACATGATATACAGGGTTATGCAACAAAAACAAAAAATTTAATAACAATTTTAGCACTTTATACTGTAATACTAAAACATTATAAATACTAAGCAATGTTTTCCTAATAAGTCTGTCTAAACGCGTGTCAAAATTTTCCATTAGAAATATTAAATGAATAATAATAAACATTTATATATTAATAGTAATAATTATTATTTAAAAATAGTAACAATTTATTACCAAATAAAAAATATTTTTGTATTACTCATATTATCTCATAGTTTTAATATACATACATAAGCCAACCTTGAGTCTTCCCTCAGATCTCTCTCTCTCTCTCTCTCTCTCTCTCTCTCTCTCTCTCTTTCTCTCGACAATCAGGTTTATCTGTAGTTCCTCAACACTACCAAACAGTGAACAGTGCCACTAAAGACTGGTATTATATTAGGCGATCACTCTTGTATCACATGTACAAAACTTTCCGATATTGTTGTTTGCATTAGACTGAGCACAGGCTTCGAGAAAAATGGGCTGAGCTTTGAATATATCTATCGCTCTCTCTATATATAACAAGAGGTGAGACAAGACTTTATAATATCAAATCAAAATTCAAAGAAAAATACTTTTCTCAACAATTGCGACAAAAGAGTTAAATTGAAAATTAATTTTAATATTATTGTTAAATAAATAATAAATAGAAAGTTTTTAATCCAATAATTGAATTGAATTGAAATGCCGGGAATAATGCCGGGATTTGATAGCAAACGTTTCGTTAATATAACTGATGTCCAAAAAGATGACTTCATGTGCGGTGTATGTCTGGGAATACTTAACAATCCATTTGCAGCCAAATGTTGTAAACAACTTTACTGTTACGACTGTATCCGCGAATGGTTGTCCTGTAGTACTACCTGTCCCTACGACCGAAGTCTAATGCATATATCGGATCTGAAAAGGTCGGACACTGTGGCCGATCAGATGCAGGATCTCGTCATTCATTGCGAGTACGAGCCATACGGTTGCGATCATACGATGCCACTGAAAGACTTGTCCCAACACATGAATAACTGTATCTATGATCCGGAAAGAAAGTGCGGTACTTGTGGTCTAACAATGGGTGATATCAATAAACACAACTGTATTGAGCTATTGATCACCGAAAAGGAAAGGTATCGCAGAGAAAATCTCAAATTACAGTCCAAACTGCAGACATATAAAGAGCAGATGTTTGAAGTAAGTCCAGGAAATCTATTATTTAATTATAAAATAAAGTCTTAATAAATATTTTTTTTTTAATTTGATTTATAGGACGAAAGGCACTGCTGGGATGACCCTCTCTGGTGTATGTAATTTGGTGTTTGACATAAAAATTTTATGTATATTTCATATACACTAAAATAATCTCATCATAACTAAAGTCAACATTTATTGAAACTATTGCCGACCAAAATAAGTCTATTTTATATTTATTTATAATTTTTTTTATTAAAAAAAACTAATGATCTATTGATTCATTGATAATTGCAATGAAAAGTTTAATATGCTTTCAATAAGTAAATATTATACATGAAAGTGAATGACTTGTTTTTATATATGTATACAAAAAAAACTGCGATAACTAATGTATTTAATTTAATGTATTTATTTTATATATACTTATTGTATAACAATTATAAGTCATTTATTATTTTTACATATTTATATATTATAAACATTATATATTTGTAAAATATTTTTCAATTGAATATTATTTACTAACTAAGTTAAACATATTTGTTAATAAAATAATTATTTCATAATAAAATTTTGTTTTGTAATCAATTTTTTAATGACATAAATTATAATATTTTTGTATTAATTTTTATAGTAAAATAAATATTGTCTGATGTTTTATCAAATAAAATATTTAATAATTATAATTAATTTTATATAATTATTAAAATTTGGTTCATATATTAAATCTTTTATGATAGTATTATTTATTAAATATTGTGAGATAGATAAATATTATTTAAAATAAAAGATAGTATTATTAATAAACAAATAATATTTTTTAATAATAAATTGTTATGAAAATAATGTTTTAAATAATTTGAAATATGATATTAGTTAAAATATTGTAAATTAATATTTAGTATACTATTATATTAGACAATATTACATTTTTTAAAAAAATAATTCAAAAATATATTAAAGTTAGAATTGAAATAATTATAGATTTAATAAATTATAATTATAATAAATATTATTGTTGATTGAAATATAGAAATAATACATTTATGTCTATAATTGTTTACCATAATTATTGTACATAACAAATATTATATTAAAATTATTTTATTGTTCATTATTTCAAGTCATACAAAGCAGTGTTGCAATTAAATTAACATTTATTTTATTTATAATTTTTTTATATTTTCTAAAATCTAGATAATATATTAAATATATCCGAATAGATTAGAAGATTTTTCAAAATGTAATAATAAGTTTTTTTTTTAATTAATATAATAGATATTATAATAACAATAATGTAATCAATTGTAAAAAATGTATATTTTTACAGATATAATAGTAATTTATGATAAATAATTCAATTATTCATAATACATATAATTTAAGTAAAACTTTATTTTTTCATCATGCAACAAATATAAATAGTAAATAATTATACTGTATATATTATTACCATGGTAATTATAAATGTTAAATATTATACAGTACAACATTTTACAGCAAAAAAACAATTTTAAAGTGCATTCAATTAAAATAACATAAATTAATGCAAACAATCAAAACAAAAACTTATAACTAATCTAAGCATAACATTAAATAATTGTTGGAAAAAAATAATTGATAATCAATTGTATTAATAGATAAACTAAAAATCATATTTAACTACAAACTTAATAATAATATCGAAACTAACCTGTATTTTGAATGATGACGTCATTTATGTTAACATTAATATTAGATTATTATTTATATAATGTAATTGTGATTAAGTATTGACGAAACATATTATTATTATTATTATTATTATTATTATTGTGTATATAATTGTTGTTAAAAAGTAAATCAATTGAATTATATTAAAGTAATAACTAATGTTAAGTCAAATCACAATTAGTTTTTTAATTAATAAATTGATTTCATTTATAATAATAATAATAAAATTAATTGTAATAAACAAATAAATTATTGTTTTATTTTCATCGAAGAAATGTCGTCACAAATGAAGAACATAATGGCGTGGAAGAGACACTTAAGTATAACAAACAATTCGACAGACAATACAAGTCCAATGACAACGAAATCGGTGATAAAACACAAGAGTGATAATAGTGTGCACATCACTGACAGCGATGAAGAGGAAGATGATTGTGGACTCAACTCGTCGGTGTCGTCGACGACGGCAATGAAGACCAGGAGAAGGATGGGGTTATGCGCTAAAAGAATGCGAACATCGGATTCACCGAAGAAGACGAAGCCATTAGATCAAAGGATGCGACTTTTAGAGAGTCGATTTATTGGATCAGCTAATCGACCCATTGATCAGCTCAACCAATCTGTAATTGTGGTCAAATCGGAACCAAAAGAAATTGAAGATGAAGTTATAGAAGTTATGGACACCACCGACACCAACACCAATACAAACACTTCGATGGTCGTCATCAGCGACGACGATAGTGTTAGTCATGTATCAGATGTAATCAAAGATGTTAGTATTGATGACAAAAAAGATGATTCAAAAGAAATTTCTTATTGGACGCCAACTAAAGTAATTGACATATAATTTCACATTTTTTAAATATCCAAATGTTGACCAAAAATTATTTCTTTTTTTATGACAGCCAAAGACATCAACAAAGACTGTTGACAGTAAAATCAGTTGTCTATTATGTCCGAAAAATTTCGAGACAATAGATTCGCTTAAACAACACTATATATCACATTTGGACGTCGGTTTGATTTGTGGTAACTGTCGACAAAAGTTTGACTCATTAGTAAAGTATCGCAAACACGACTGTCAACTCATGGAAAACAATAAATTACAAAATTTAGATGAATTTAAATCAGCAAAGAAATGGTGCGAACAATATGGAGAATCAGATGACAGACAATTGAGAGAATATATTGAACCAAATGTTCATTCATATTGTCCGGTCTGTCGTAGTATTAAAGGTGTGCATCAAAAGAGAATACAAAAGTTGTTGACATACAAGATGTCCAAAACAGACAAACAGTCGACTGATGATCACTACCAACAGTCCCAACGCAATCATCTGCACCAACATTTGATATACTTTCCTTATCAGTGTATTGACTGTCAATTTGATGACAAGATTACTGAATTTTGTCTGAATAAGTCAGCCCAACAACACCTTAAAGACGTTCATAATATAACAAATGCAATGCAATTGAACTCAAATGAAATGTTAAAATATTTTGAACTTAAAAAACCAATCAAACAATTAGGATCAATGATTGACTATTGTTTAGATATGACAAATAGACAATTTTCATTTAATACTAAATGGTCGCATAAAGAATCCAAATTAGCTGTATTTAAAAAAGGTTAAAATTGTTTTTATACTATTATATTATATATTAAACAATTTGTGGTGTATTATGCAATTTGTGGCACATATTTATTGATTGCGAATAATAATAATAATACAACAATTGTTTACAACAATGTGGCAATTTAGGGTAAAATTTATATTAAAATTTAGCATGCACAATTATCTAGATCAACTAATAATGTGGAAAACTATATACAGGTAGTATAATTGATTATATTAATTGATTATCTGTACTATAAATAACTATTTGGTATAGTATATAATTAAAATATTTAATTTTTATTTGACAATTGATTTTGTTTTATAGTTTATTTACTTAATATAACTTGCAAATATAATAAATAATAATTATAAAATTAAAAAATAATTTTGTTTTTTCTGTTTTTTACGTCAATACTAAAAATTATAAAACTAAATGTTTATTTGTATTTTTTTTAAAATTAAACTTAAAATTATATTAATTTATATTAATTTCGTCAAAAACTTAGTAAAAAAAATTACTAACACTTAATGATCAAAAAAGTTTTGATAATTTTAATAACTTTTAGTTAATAATTATATATGAAATTTATGAAACATATGTGTTGCTGCCATAGATTTTCTAAAAGAAAAACATGAATCCAATGACAGCTGTCAATGGCTGCTCAATATATAGTCACAGTGTTTGACAAACAAAACAATAAAATTGACACTCAATTCAAATGTGACAATAAAATCATGAATCTATTGATTACATTCACTAATCATTTATTATTATTATTATTATTGATATCATCGACAGTCATATGGATATCATGTCTTCAATTACCGCGACTTCCGACGGATCACATCAAGTATTGGTTACGAAACAATCGATTAGAGTATAAGTCGGTGAAGAAGTTGTGCGCCGATCGCAACTTCGCGTCGATGACTATTGAAAGTAAGATTAGTGACCATCGATGAGATTATGCCATCCATTAGATTATTATTATAAATTGTTATGCAATTCATTATTCAGGTCTGCAGTCAAATAACATAACAGATCTCAACGCCGACCGCGACCTCAGTCTTAAGCAAAATATTTGTTCGACAGTTTTGGACAATGAATTGGGAACCGATTGTTGGGGTTATGAAAGCGATTGTCAGTCAAAACACATGTACTCAACGCCCGAATGTCCCGATGATAGCGCCGGTTGGGCTCCGAATCAGTTGGAAGCGATGAAAATGTTTTTCGTTTCGGCAGATTTTGGTTATGTCGCCCAACGACTCCAAGAACTTAAATACTTTTGTCAACCGAAACAATTGGTTGGCATTTCTTCTAGAAATAACAAACCATTAGTTTCATCGTTAAAATGCACACAATATACCAGATATTGTTTGGCCACAAATATTATGATCGACTTTGAGATGTTGACCAAACTTCAAGAGCCGGTCCGCTATCGCGAGGATGTGATTGGCGGCCATCATATCGGTGGCTGGAATTGTGACCTTAAAGATGAAGAACTTAGAAGTGAAAGTCATCATAAAAGTCCGCTTCAGTCGTGGTTTGCAGAGATCGAGAACTATAAGATTTTAAGAGATGACCTAAAGTGCGACATATGGATAGACAAACCAACGTTTATCATGAAATTGGACGCAACAGTCAATATGTACCATCATTTCTGTGATTTCATCAATCTTTACGCAAGCCTTCACATGAATAACTCATTTTCATTGGATAATAATATTATTATATGGGATTCATATCCGTATCGTTCAAACTTTGGTATCGTATGGCAGGCTTTTACCCGAAATCCGGTGCTATATATCGGACAATTTAAAGGTAAAAAAGTTTGTTTTAGGGACTTAATGATGCCATTACTTCCGCGAATGATTTATGGCATCTATTATAATATGCCACTCATTCCCGGCTGTCATAAGAGTGGACTTTTTCGGGCTTTTAATCGGCATCTAATCGAAAGACTGAACATTAAGGTTGTTGTTCCCGAAAACGATAATTTGGTCAGAATTACACTGATATCGAGGCGAACCAAATACAGACAAATACTCAATGAACAAGAATTGATTGACTCATTAAGTGACTTAAAAGATGTATCTATAAAGTTATACGACTTTAATCATTGGATGCAATTCAGTGAACAAATAGAAATTAGCGCAAACAGTGATGTCCTCATCGGAATGCACGGCGCGGGACTCACACACGTACTCTTTCAACCCGATTGGTCCGTACTCTTTGAATTATTTAATTGTGATGACGAACATTGTTATAAAGACTTGGCCCGACTTCGTGGCGCACATTACATGACATGGACTGATCGTTCGAAGATTTATCCCGAAAAAAGTGATTACAAATCAGAAAACCCGAAATTTTCAGCCGACGCCAAGTTTACTAATTACCGATTTGACGCCAACGAGTTTAGACGATTAGTCTTAATTGCAGTCAATTATGTGAGAAATAATAGAATTAAGATATTATATGACAACACCAGTGATAAACAAATAACAATTGACTTAAAAACAAAATCTGAATTATAGATTCATTTTTATAGATTAATAGAAACGGATTTATAGTATTTATTAATTATATTTTTTTTTATTTTTACATATTTATAAATTTAGTAAAAAATTTCACCGATATTATTATTTTTAGTATTGTTTTATATATTACGGTATTATTACTAATGGTAATTGAATCCAGAATCTGAGTCTTGAGGCAATGTATGCCACTAATGTGATAATTTTATTGACATAAAATTTTAAGATTCAAACTACCCATTGTGTAATGCTATGTAATAAAATTTTTAATACATTTTAAAAACTATATTTGATATAACAAAACATTAAAATATTTAAAATTAAAATAAAAGAGTCACAAAAAATAAATGTTTAAAATTACTATTTGATTAGAAAATTCATTTTACTATAAATAATAGATTTTTTTTAGAGAGAAAAAGATCTTCCGTTACCATTGCGGTTGAATGAATCGAGTAGTACTTGGTTTTGATTTTGTTTACCACCAAACCATTCAATCCAATCACTATTCGTAATGAATTGATGCCCAAGAAGTTGAGTGACATTATATCGTTTATGTGGTTCCGGATGAAGACAACACTTAATGACAAATTCTTTGAATGTTTTGCTGTAAGTTCTTTGGAGAAATGACTCATATCTGAGCTTCTCTTCGGGTTTGCTCTCTAAGTATTTGTTAATTTCTTCTTTATTGTCACCTTTTTTGGTCAATTGGTTCAGTCCAGCACATGTACTGTCCAAAGGCTCAGGTATATCGCCGTTGAGTTTGCTGAGCAAAACTTCGGACGGTTCGAGTCCTCTGTAAGGAATGGATCCGTTGCAGAGCTCACAGCACGTGATTCCTATACTATAGATGTCTGCTTTTGTGTCGTATCCCATCATATTTTGTTCGAGTACTTCCGGTGCCATCCAATTGATATACCTTTCGGTGTGAACCGGAAAGTCATACATTGGATACATGACTTTACCTTCACGTATGGCACTGACAGAGTACTTGAGACCCGACAAAACGCACCGCATTTGAGTATCCGGTCGACCCAACACTAAGATATGAGAAGCTTTGATAGAGTGGTGAACAATACTATTGTTGTGCAGATATTGGACACCGTTTAAGACATCTTTGACAACCAGAGAAATGCATTGTTCAGTCAAACCAAACGGTTTCGATACATCAGATAACGAACCGAAGACAGAATATGGAGTCAATGTCCACAGATCTGAGCCGACGGTAAACGATGTTATAATTGACAACAGATTAATGTGTTTTAGTTTATGACATAAAAGTACTTCTTTTCTCATGAAGTCTAAGCTCTCGTATTCTTTCAAATCAGTCTTTCTTAACATTAAATAACAATCGTTTGGTTTATAATAAACTTTGAATACGTCTGGACTGTGGATGAGCTGTGCATTGATAAAGAGTTTGGGATCCCTTTGGATCAGTTCTGTATGAATATCCATCACAATTGTGATCAAAAAGTCTTCAGAAAGAAAAAGAAAATTTTTTTTTTAAAAACTTTTTTCTCGAATAATAATTCTCTGATAATATAGAAAAATATAATTCTTATGTCATTTCAAACATTTACAACAAATAATGTTTGCTATAAACAGAGTCCCTGTAATACATAATCAATAGATATATTTGTTGTTTATTTTAGACGTATTTTATGTTCAAAACTATATATTGTTTAAAGCAATCAATTGTGTGATTATAGCGTTAATACAAAACAAAAAATCTGTTTTCAAACAGTTATTTACTGAGAATCGGTGTCCGCGATATTGGGTGTCCACTGACCAGTCATGCCGTACGCCAATCAGCCAACAGTGTCCATACCGGACAACGGCATTCAAGACGAGTACATTAAATTCAGTGTCGAAGACACAGACCTATCGGTTGCCAATTCTTTGCGTCGAGTGTTCATTGCCGAAGTGCCCACATTGGCCATCGATTGGGTCCAATTGGAGGCCAACTCATCGGTACTTCACGACGAGTTTATTGCTCATCGATTGGGTTTAATACCGTTGACCTGTGAAGAAGTGGTCGATCGGATGCAGTACTCGCGCGACTGTACGTGCGTTGACTTCTGTCCCGAGTGTTCGGTAGAATTTACTCTAGACGTCAAGTGTACCACAGAGGAGACCAAATCAGTGACCAGCGCTGATCTCAAGTCATCGGATCCTCGGGTATTGCCGGTGTCATCGCGACATCACGACAACGATGAGGAGTACGACGAGAACGATGTGGACAATGAGATATTGCTCGTGAAGTTACGTCGCGGACAGGAATTGAAGATCAAAGCGTACGCCAAGAAAGGTATGGCCAATCGTCAACAAAATCATTGTCTTAATACTATTAACACATGTTTTTACCGGTCATTAGGCTTCGGCAAAGAGCATGCAAAGTGGAACCCGACTTGTGGTGTGGCCTTCGAGTACGATCCGGACAACGCTTTCCGTCACACACTGTACCCCAAACCAGAGGAATGGCCGCGCAGTGAGTACACTGAGTTTGGCGAAGACGACCCGCAATACGAGGCCGATTACATACGCGACGGAAAACCAAACAAATTTTATTTTACCGTTGAATCGGCCGGTTGTCTAAAGCCGACCACAATTGTTATGTCCGGTTTGACACAATTGAAGAAAAAGTTGACTGATTTGCAGACTCAGGTGCAGAACGAAATACAAAACGATGCGCTCGCCATCAACTGATCCCAAATAATAAATCTTCGCTACCATTCATATATCATTTGCCAATAATTTTATTGCTATTCATTACTCTTAAACAGTGTGTTATGATTTACGATACACTTATTATAATGTATTAATCAAAAATACAATATAAATAAGAATTTTTTTTTTATAAATCATATCAAAATAATTTTTACTTTTAACTTACAGTTAATCCAAAATAAATTTAGTCTTATTTTTTGTAAATAATGATATTAAATGTTTTATTATTATAATTATTTTAAGTATTGGCCATAAAAGTTAATATAAAATAAACATTTATTGTTTGTTTTGTTAGATTTGTTTTGTATTGTTTTGGATTTACAAAAATCCTAATGTCTTTTCGTTTTTATTGAATTAAATGATTTGATTGGAAATGTTATGAAAAACACTTTAAAAACTCATCAAAAAAAACTTAAAATACATAATAAATAAATTCATAACATGATTATTGTTGACTTAAAATGACAATTTGATGAATGAGTAACTAAATTAGTTATTTAAGAGGAACTGCTTACTTAAAAATATAATATAATATAATAATTAGCATTAAAAACAACTCTAATATTTTTATCACAGATAATAAAATTATATGTCAATCAATTAATTTAAATAATTTTTCGTTAAATATTATATGTTATAACTTATAAATCAAATGCAAGACTAGAATGCAAAGTGTGGCCGTCTTCTGGTGGCTGTCCGCCAGACGCCGGCACCGACTTTCCCGATGTTATTACCGTTACTGTGGTTAGTGTTGGCGTTGAGTATATGATGTGAGTTACGCAATGATACCAAAGTAGAAGCCAAACACATCCGGTTGGGAGCAGTTTTGCCGCCCGGCAGATGAACTAGTGTTGTGACCACTGCTGACAAACCATCGGCAGTCGGCTCGACGGCCACTGGACGTATCGTATACTTATCAAACGGTTCGGGATGTACCTGAGCTTTGGGTGAGTCTCTCAGACCTTTTTTATACAAATGAACAATAAAATTATCAAAAAATGTCAATAAAATTAAAAATACTATTAAACTCACTGGAAATGCTTCCTCTAAAGCGAAATGGTTTCTTCTTTATAGTGCCTTCTTTGTGATGCGATGGCGACGACAGAGCAAACTCGACATCATTTGTAGTGTACGAGCCGTCGATATGAATGAGTATTGTGGCGAACGGCCGACTGGCCATATGCTTCATCTCAGCCACGTGTAGACGCCGAGCGCGTCTCATATCAAATGCCTGTTTTATTTTCCAAACCATAACACAAACGCAAAGAAATAGGAAAAAACAGGAAAAGAAGACACTGAAGAAAACAAACAGATCTATGCGACTCTGGTCCTGACGGAAGAATATGTTACCATAACTTCTGTGATCATCCGTACCATTAATATGGCCTTTCAATTGACTTTGAATTCCTTTTAAAATTATGTAAAATCGAGTACTTCTTAGATCATGAACTTCTTGAGGTATAGTAATAACTAAACGATTTTTAAGATTACGAACAATGAGAAATTCATTTGGATCAGTGATCGTCAAGTAATAGATGAGATCATTAGCTGATGAATGTCGTAATTTGAGCGCCGGTCCACTGGTCTGTGACTTCAGTGGATTAAATCTCATGGAATCATTCAATAGAAACGGCTGTTTCAGTGAAAGACTGTCCAAATCGTTATATAGATTTCCAGATGAGATGTGCGTCGAGTACTTCTTGTCCAACCAAACCCAGTGAATGCCATTAGTTTTGTTGACATCCACAACAAATGTGTCCTCTTTTGCCGATAAATACAAGTCGACGGACCCTTTAGTGACGTCCACAAAGATTCTGATGTCGACATTCATATATCGGGGCTGAACAGCAAAGAATACAGTTCTGCCAAATGGCAGTCCAGACTGTTTTCGAATGCATTCCTCTTGAGTTTTCGGATCAAAACAGTAGTCTTTATCCAAAAACATGTGTCGATAACATTGATGACCATTAGTAGGAACACCTAAAAAGTATTCCTTACATTTGGAGCATTGCATTTGCCAACAGGGAGTCAGTGAACTTTTGCTACTATTTTGCGAACACTGTCTATCCGTTTCGGTACTATTATCACACTGACAGTCCTCTCCGGTTACTTTGTTACAGGTGTCTGAGTGTCCGTTACAATGACACCGTCGACAACCGTCACCAATGCGTTCGGCATTGTTTTGAAAGAAGCCGTCAATACATGAGTTACATTCCGTGCCTTTAGTATTATGCTTACAGTTGACACAAACAGCTCCCGAAGCGGGTCCCTCATCGACAACGTGTCCCAATATTTTCTCTACATCTTTATGTGTGTTTATTGCCTCCAAAAGTCCCGAAAAATTTCTAATTTTATCGTATAGTTGGCGATCCAAACATACTTCAGAGTGATTATTGCAATATGTCTTACATGGGACACACTTTCCGGAGTTAACAGGATTTCCGACGTAAAATGGTTTACACTTTTCACATTGAGATCCCTGGGTGTGATTCTGGCATTCAAGACAATCGCTTAGTCGATTAACACCCGCACAGTTACTGTGACCATTGCACTCACACGCCAGCGAACAATTGGTGCCAACAAAACCTATTAAATGAATCAATTGAATGAAATACTTGTAGACAACTATGAAAAACTAATTTATTAATTACTAACCAAAATTGCATTGACAGACATCGGGCGCCACACAAGTGCCAAACATACAGCCCTCATGGCATATGGCTTTACATTGATTGTCATCGATTAGGTATCCGGGTTTGCATTTACACATAAAGCCATCTTCCAGATCAATACAATCTTCTGTACGCTCATCGCACGTGTGATGTCCGTTAAGACATTCATTTTCTGTGTTAATACAAACATACAGTTATAATATAAAATAAAACTTAAATATAAGTTTAGTCCACACCTTTAGGTCTTTCTAAATACGCCCAAATTGGCGGCCCTTCTGATTGTGATAACCATTTGGTGGTCATTGAAGGTAACGGTTGATTCGGTAATAGACCGACATATTCTTTCTTACAGGTGCCACCAATAGGACCGGGCAGTTGTCCTTCCATACAGATTCCTCGGCCATCTACAGCTGTTCCATTGAATGCACACCATCCGCAATGGGGTCGAGAGAGACAGTGAGCCGATTGCATTAGTTGGTGACAAGTGGAAGGACATTGCGATGGAGAGCCGCTTAGAACAAGACTACCACAGAGGCCGGCCTCACATCTGAGTGGCACAAAACTGGGAGAAATGCATTTGTTTATGTTTTGAGCCCAAGAACATGAATGATGACCACCTTCGCCGCCGGAACTTTCCAAACATGAACTACAGTTTGTATAACTTAAGCAAGAGATCGGACAAGAGAGCGGTGGCATAGACTCGACAACTATTGATGCCACGTCTTGGGGTATATTTTGAACGCACGTCCAGTCAAATATGGGCTTAACATTTAATGTACGACCCATTTCTGAACGCAATACCTGTCGTGTCCACATACAGCCTCCGAGTTGCGAACATTTATGACAATCGGAGGCCAAACATTGTCGAAGTGGACACAAATGGCCGAAAATGAACGCTCGAGGCTGTAAAGTGCAATGAGATTCACGTTCACATGTGGCACCCATAGGTGTACACCGACCACTCTGACAGTTTGAACACCACTGACACACCTGTTTCCCCGAACCATAAATAGGCCAATAGGCTACACAGTCAACACAAGTCTTGTATTGATAACAATTGCGACGCTCAAGTAGTTCAACACCACAACTGAGTCCCTGAGCCACTTCTGAAGCTCCTCTCGGATTGTAACAGCTCTGAGGTATTGTCAGATCTTGTGAGTAGCAAAAAGTTTTGTTTACTCCGTTCTCGTAAACGGAACAATAGGAACACCCGATATGTCGAAGACAACCGAGTCTTGAATATGAAAAGAGTTGACATAAATCTTTTGGTACCGTTAATCGGTAAAGATTTCCATTTGTTTGGCCATTAGTTCCGCCAAAAATATAAATATTATTGTCCTGTATTGTAATGGACAGTGCAATGGCCGGTTCGGGAGGTTCACCACTCACTGGAATTGTTTCGGATTGCAATGATATCCATTTATTGCACTTATAAATGTATGCGTAAATAGAGTTCACAATAGCATTGCTATCATTATTTCGACCGCCGATTATAATCATATAGAGTTCAGTGGACACCGCAGAATGAAAATATCGCGATTCGGGTCGCGTATTGATTGGATTGATTTGTTCGTCGGGTGGCAATCGGTACCAATGACTTGTGTCGACATCAAAACTGTACAAATCTCCCGATATGTAAGTCCTATCCATATCGTAGCCAACACCGCCGTAAATGTAAATATTATGGGTTTGCGAGTGAAACACAGCGGTGTGACCATAAATACCTACGGGTCGAACACCATTTCCATCGTCCAACACTTTCCATCGATTTTCGTCAATATCATACTCAAGTGTCTTCTCGAAAAAGCCATACTCTGGTGAATAGCCGCCAATCAGTATAAGACTGCCTACGTTGTCGGTGGCAGTCAGTGTGTGTCCGGCCAGTGCTGGAAGTTCGTCAATAATCTCCAACTTTTGCCAATTGTGATCCACTGTTTCAAACTTCCAGAAGTCACCCAACACACCGTTCACTTGACTGAGACCACCGTAGAGATAGAACCACTCGCCGTAAAGTGCTGTTGCGTGAAAATGTCGCGGTTGTGGACCAGATCGGGAACTGTCCTTATCATGTTTGCCGTTAGTCGAAATCTCCTCCCATCGCGATGTTATTAAATTGAAACGAAACATATCGCCCAACTGTCCTCTTATACTTGAATAACCGCCAAATAGCCATAAATATGAATCGGTATTTTCTAGTGTGTGTCCCATTCGTGGCAAATACAGTGAAAGCGATGGCAAGAATGGTTTGGCCGCTTCACAGTTGAATAGTGTGGACCAAACAAGTCGATTAGTGAACATACTTTGCGAACAGTCATTCTCCACATAGTTAGGCATACAAATGCACCGACCGTTCTGGTGATCGCACGTCCCCTGATTCTTGTCGGCCGAACAGTTGTTGGGACAGACAGTAACACCACAGTTGGGTCCGATCTTATTGTCCGAACAAACGCACTGATTATTTACACATTCCCTGTCGTTGAGCGTTTGACACGACTGACAGTCCAGCCGTACATACGATGCATTGAAGCCTTGGTTCGGGTCGCGGCGTTCGTAGAAAACGGTAAGAAAGCCCGAATGCGCCACCAAATGAATGTCTTCCTTGAGATCAGTGCCGCAATAGAAGCCTAACTTTTGGCTCAGGGCTCCCGACGCGACAAAATCGGGAACGCCGTCGAACACCTGTATGTTAGAGTCGGGACATTCAACGTGCATATCCTTCTCAATGGTCAGACTGATGGCCGGAGTGTTAGGTATGGACTGTCTGGATATCGATCGGGCCATAGCTATGGAGTACAGTGTGTAGATGTCAACCACTGGATGTGTAGTCAGAATCCATAGGCAATACTGCGGCGAACTGTCGACCATATCGGCCGTGAAATGTGTGCCAAACCATCCGGTCGTTGCGTTGACCACTAGTCCGCGCGGAAGACATTCTGTATAACATCTGCAGTGACGACATGTCATTGACTGTCGCCGATCGCACGTCTGGTTCGCTGTCAATCTGTTAGGCCATCGATGGTCAACGCAATCGTTATTTTGCTTACTATCACATGTCGTCGAGTGGACAGAACTGAGACATCGGTAGCCGTAAATCAATATGAATATCAATATTAAGTAAATGCCGTAATCTTTGGCTAATATCATGTTATGTCTTCATTAAAATCAATCACTTCGTGTCCATCGTTGTCATTGTTGTTACTGTCGTTGTCTTCATTATCATCTATACTATTGTCGTCTTATTTTTGATGACAAAACAAACAACAATTAAATCAATCAAACAATTGTTTTGTCTAATCGTATGACAACTAAGTATTTAATTTCATTTGTAAACAAATTGTTTTGTTTTCATTGATTTTGTTGACTAATAATAATAATAATAATAATATGGATATAAATAGTAGAAAAACATTAAAAAACAATTTGTTATTTATTTTCACTATTTATTATTATTAATAGTATTTTATTTTTTGGAGCAAAACTGTCAAAACATTTTCTCTATTGAATAACAATTGAGTCGTTAGTCTAATTAGTTGCCCATAAATAACGCAAACAAATAAAAATTGTATAAAAACTTTATTTCAAATATTACTGAAATAAATTGATAGGCAATGCAAATATTGAACAAATGATTGTAAAAAAATTAATTTGTTTTAATTTATTAAAATCATGTATTTTTTTTAGTTGACTAAAATAAAATTTGGCACAACTATAGTTAAAAAAAAAAAAAATAAATTGATTCAATTAATTCAATAACATTTATGTGGTTTTTAATCCAATGCATAGCTCGCTATTCAATAGTTTTGGCAAACATTCACGTAAAACATAAGCAGCACTTATAGGCCGATCTTTTTGATGTAATTCGGTTAACCATATCATGAGTCGGGCAATGTTCGGGTATAGCTCCTGGAGATCATTAGGTACGAGCCGTTTATCATAGAGATTGCTTCTGTAAACATATGCTTCATTGCGATCTGTAATTGCATTAAATTTATAAAACACGTCTAACATTAAGATTCCGAGATCCCAGAGATCTTCGCCGCGACCATCACTTGTAGGGATCCATTCCGGCGGCCGACGATTGAAGGATCGACCCGAACCTGATAGTGACCCGATGTTACTGTTGTCGTTCTCATCACTTGATCCCCTGAGGCTACTATAGCCCAAGTCTGCTATCTTAAACATTTTGTCAAATCCAAACAAAATATTATTTCTAGTAATATCTTTGTGTGCAATACGTTTGCGATGAAGAAAACGTATCCCATTTGTCACATCGCGAATAATTTTGAGACCAAATTTCATGAGACTCTTGTCCGGGAGTCGACCTTCGATTTTATCGTTGCGTTGATTAAGATAATTATCTAAAGATTGTTTGCATAGTTCCATCTGAACGAACAGTGATGGTCCCCATAGCGATGATGGCACTCGTATTGGATTTGGTGTAATGACCGGCACAGTAGCCGATAAAAGATTTTCAAGCATATCATTAACCGAACTCTCAACAGCATCGACATCAGTATCCATGGGTTCGTCTCCACTTTCATGTCTCTCTTTACAAGTATTAATATCTAATCCATTCTTCCAGTTTTCCAATTCTTGTTGAGAGCAATATTCAATCCAAGATGTCTTGTAATTGACGATATTTTTATGGGTTGACATCCGGGCATTGATATGCACTTCATTAAGCAATTGACTGATATCTCTATTATCTTCAGTGAGTTGATTGAATCGGATTACTTTAACCGCATAGTGTATGTCATGTTCAGGCGTAGACTCCATACGATTGCGGACTTTATAGACGATACCAAACCCTAATAAATGGATATAATATATGATATTTATAACAAATAATAGATAATTAATTAATTAATTAATTAATAACTATTAGTCACCTCCGGCGCCAATTTCGTTGACAATGTCGAACACTTTGTTGAATCGATTTTCATTAACCAATTCAAAGTTATCGAGATTAAGGATGACTGCCGGTGTCGGGTTTGTTTGTGTGGCCATTGTTTGACATACAATTTATTTGCTGGACATATCAGTGATCAGTCATTAGCATATATATATCAGGGTTAAGTAAGGGGGGGTAGGGGGGTAAGGCCAAAATACCTCCCCCTAAGATCGAGAAATTGGGATTTTACCACCCCAGACTTTTTGACCAAATTGGAAAAATTGTCGCTTAAAAACGACGAGAAATGACCCCCCCTAAAATTTCGGCGCCTAAGGCGCCGAAAATTTTTTTGAAATTTATAAAAATTTTAATTTTAGTTGAAACTATTTTAGTAAGTGTTTATATTTTTTTAATATTTATAAAAATCTAATTATTGATTAAAAATAGTTAAAATAACGTTAAAACTCATCAAAAAATAAGATTATTTTAATTAAAATAAACTAAAAAATTAAAAATTACCTATTTGTTGAAAAGAGTAATCATATTACAATTTAAATATAAGTTTAAGATAGTTTAAGAAGTTAATAAAACAATAAATACTTATATTATAAATTTTTTATTAATAATTTTTAAATTTTAAATAAAAAATTTAAAAATATTTTCAATTTTGTACTTAATATAATTAAGCTTTAACAAAATTTGAGTTAAATAAGTAGTATTCAGTCAGTATTTGTATAAAAATAACATTTAAAAAATAAAAATATATAACAAACTATAAACATTAAGTATTATTTAAAAAATTAATTATATTAAAAGTTAAAAATTATTAAAATACTAAAAATAACTCATAGTGTATCATTAATGCTTTTATCAACTATTTTTAAATCTTAAATACATTATTTAATTTTTTGTTAAAATTTAAGTTTTTATTAATTTTTAAAATATTTTTTTAAAAAATATATTTATTTTTTGTTAAAATTTAAGTTTTTGTTAATTTTTAAGTTTTTTTATATTTTTGGAAATTTTACCTATTTTCCCGGGAATTTATACGGGAACTTAAGGAATTTTTAGGGAATTTTCTCTTGACCCCCCCCCTTGATTTTGGATTTTTTTTGAAAAAATTGCCGTTTAAAAATGCAATAAAAATCTTACCCCACCCAATACCCCCCCCCCAAGATTTTTCGAGAATTTTGTAAATTTTACCCCGGTCTACCCCCCCTAAAATCCAAAACCTTGCTTAACCCTGATATATATATAGACAGGTATATCTATAGACCGGTTTAGTTACATATAACTATATAAATAAGTCAATTTTATACAAGCCAATATGAAATTATATTTAACTACAATATGTAATTTATTATTATACAATATATCAATATAAAATATATCAATAATGTACATATTTGACATTACTAGCATCTAGGTATTACTTTTTGTAATTATAATATCACACACACACACACAAAATTATATTATGAAAATGATCGTAATTTCAACTAATTATGCAGACATTAATTATTTTAACAAAACACAAATTTATAAAATGTCAAAAACTACTATTTAAACTAAAATTTTAAAAAATTATATATAATAAATATAACTAAATTTTCAAACATACAGTACTTTTTCTATCAATTTTCATATACAAGCATACAATAACTTTTAAAAAGTTATTGTGTCCTATAAATTATAGGCTATAATATATAAATTAATAAAAATTTATTTATTCTTTAAGAAATTCTTATATTTATTATATAGTTTTAAATTTTAGTTTAATTACAACAATTTATACGTTAATTATTAATATATTTAATTTACAGTATATACCTGAATAGATTTATTTAAATCTATAAAAGTTAGCATTGTCAATTATAGTAGCAGGTTAATTTAACTTTATCATATGAGTTTTTTTAAATGAAAGAAAATAAATATCAAGTTATTTAAATTTTTAATTTATTAAAATATTATTTCAAAAAAATGTCAAATAAATATTTTGATATGTTAAATATATACAATATATTATAGTTTCGATATATCAAATATAATATAAAAAATATTATATAATTATAAAATATATCTCTACAAAATAAAAATTTCTAAAATTTATGGCACAATATATATATACACGGCTTTGAATGTAAAAAATATAATTTTTTAAAATGACAAGGTTGTAAATGTTTTTTTTAGTTTTTAAAAAAATTAACCATGGTCAACAACAACAATGATAACTTGATGATGATTATAAATGTCATTCAATTTGTTCATCTAATTTAATTAGTAAATAATAATAATGTACTCTAACTTTTGATCATTTAATTCATATCATACTATTAATTAATTAATTATAAATAATAATAATAAAAATAGTTACATAAACTTTTCCATTCATTAAATTTGACTTAATTTATCACTTTTTTTAAAAATAAAAATCTATTTCAACATAAATTTTACAAAAAACTTCAAACACTTTCTCGTTTATATCATAAATATTTAGCATATATGTTGTGTGGGACGGGTAGTTGTGATTTGAAACTACTGTTAGCTAACTATACGCTCATTCTCAACGTCTAATCATTCAGAAATAGCTGTCATTATATCGTTTTGGAGAACAATTTAAATGCCTATCAAAAAAAAAGGTTGAGTTGAGATCAAATTAATTGATATATAATATATTGAAGTCCAATGAACTTTGAACTTCTTGGTCAGTGATATATATATTTTTTAAACTGAAGTCATGTTTTTTTTTTGTTAATCTAAAAGTTTTGGTCTGAATGCAACTGAGCCCTTATACTGGAACCCCTTTTGATTGTGGCCTCTCTTACGGGAGGAATACTGCTGTTTAACGGTGACAACACCGATGAGTTAGACTTGTAGTCGTGCGGTGACTCGTATGCGTTGGCCGTCGACTTTTGCGGCAAAAACTGCCGTAGGCTTAGCCTCTTATGGCTTACACCACCGAATCGCTCCGTTTTGGTTAATAAAATGTATATAATTAAACCACATATGAAGCCACCCGTAATAAATGACAGAATACAGAAAAGTACTAATTTTTGTAAACTAACTGTTTGTTCATTACTGGACTCTGCTTCGGCCGATAAGGAACTCCTGAATACCGGTTTGTCATTAATCATATCTAATGAATTGTTTTCTTCGTTGGGAACATATTGTTCATTATTTCTGTCGCAATGACGGAACTCCTTGTAATGGCCAACACATTTGTCACTGCCATCACACTGTCGGGAACGGAACTGTTTGCCATACATGCATTGTGTCCATTGTGTCCATTGAGTCCATCCCTGACATTGATTTGAAGTGCATTCACGTCTATAAAAATTTATTCAATAATTTTGTTATTAAAGAATAAAATTATATATAATAAAAAATAATTTATTGAAGATATACCTAATATAATGGTCACCGTTCCACTTAAACTGCCAGCCATTACAGGCATCATCCGAGCACTGAGACCACACATTGTTTGACGCAATAAATCTTTCTTCAATTTTCGTTTGTACACTCAATCCCTGACCCTCTCCTGTCTGAGACTTACAGATGAATCTGAATCTCTGCTCAACCACACCATCGCCAGTGATATTTTTTATGAGCCAATCGGTCCATTCAGAGTGTTGCCGGGACTCCGCACACTCGTGTCGGTTACATATACGCCATTCGACATCACAGCCCACACATCCTTTGTACATATCTTTGTATTCACACCGTCTTCTTCGCAATTGTACACCACCTCCGCATTTAGATGAACAGACCTCCCAATCAGACCAATCGGACCATTGATTTATTGGCTTCACTGGCTCTGGTTGTGTCAGATTGACACAGGGAGGTAAGTTAGTGCACTGTATAGACTAGACAAATAAAAAGATTAAAAACAGATTAAAAAACAATCCATTTATAGGTTTTAAACAGTAAATTACTTCTTTGTCAGGTCCGCGACATTGACGCCCACCAAAAGCTGGCGCCGGGTTTGAACACTTGCGGTACCGATATTTGTTGGTCGCCCCGCAAGTGGCACTACATTGAGACCATTGAGACCAATCAGTCCAACCTCCGTGTTGGGTACAGTTAGAAACTTGGACTTCTTTGCCATTAATACAGGTATCACTAGAACTGGTCTCAGCACATGATCTCATTCGACAAAAGCATTGGTCACCAATAGTTTTATTTAGTTGATTACATGATAACCAATCACTCCATTGGTTTAGTTTCGCTTCTTGACATTGCTGTGAATCAGATTGCAGCCACTCTTGTGAGTGAGGATTACCTCCCGGTGCTGTAGTACATGCCAATTTCAACTGATCCCAACCACAATAAGGATCGCCACTTAGTTCACACTGAGTTTTATCCGTGTATTGATGGCAACGCTCAACCGATATCCTTATTATTTCTCGTTTAGTTCCCAAATATATTGATTGAGTGTCTCTCAAAAGTTTCATCGAGAGTATGGCATCATTGGTAGTGTTGGCTATGACCCGAAACTGGTCGATGAGACACGATTTGGTAGCGAATGGCCAGCGGACATACTTCATAAGCCAGCCATCAGTTGTCGACACAAACATCACTTCAATTGATTTGTGATGTTTACTTTGAATAACATCGACAGCTATAAACTGGAACCGTTTGTTTGTTTCAATAACATATGGTCGTCCATTGACCGACTGTACGGCCGAATCCATTAACTGGAACTGTGAGTTCAGTCTTTGCATTTGATGCCATTCAGACTGATTCTTGTTGAATGCCTGACACTCGAAGGTGTCTTTGTCTGCTTGAGAGCTCTGCCACATCGAATCGGTTGACTTTTGTTGTTTGAATAGTCCGTGAAATGCGGTCAACACAGCATCGATACGATAGGCACAAACGGCTGAACCATGAATTGAGTTTCTGTTAGCAAAGCAAATGAGAAATATATCGTATGATCTTAGAAATCAAGATCTGATAACAAAACAGAAAAAATTGAATATTATATAAAACATACTCTGGAGTATTAAATGTGGCATAAAGTGTGGGCACATCTCCCGAGTCGACCCAATCGACTGACTCGATCTCATCAAAATAAAATGGGAATAATCCGGGTATTGAACAGTTTAGTCTCGATTTTGTAAATGATGTCCAATTTTCCCGATAATAGAGTTGTCCGCCGACATCGTTTTTACAAACCCGACCGATTCGGGAGTATATCTTTTTGCCGCAGTTTATGTACTCGACTGCCGACTCTCTGAACAGGAAGTAAATGTGATTTTCATATTCAAAATTGAAGACAAAGTTGGCGTCGGCGTTGATCCACTTGGAATCCGATTGCATTGTTCTTAGGATTGACTTTTTAATCGGATTACTGGTTGCCAATAGTGATGTCTGAGTCGGTGGCAATTGATTGCTGGGATGTTTGGTAATTGCAGCGTCGATACCACGAAAGTCAAGAGGACCGGCATAATAGTAGTCACCGGAATATGTTAGCAAAGCGCTGGTATTCCAGAGAGGACTGAACGAACTTCGACTAACACCCGATTCGCGTTTGATGACAGTCGACAAACTCATTAACTGTCTTATCTCACACTCCGGTGAGAAGGCATTGGTGCCACAGACGAGCACCTGTTTGGTGGCAGTGATGGGCAACAGTACTGTAATGTAGTTATGGCACTGCCATCGTTTCATGCCTTTTCGTTCGCATAATTTTTGTTTTTCGGCGTCGGCTGGTATATAGTGGGCTTCCGGACGAGAGGTTGCAAAGCTGTCCAAACCCACGCGTAACAGATAATCCCTAATTATAACAAGTAATAGAAAAAGGTTTTTACTTATTGTTATTATATACATAGTCACGAAATATCAAAAGTGTTAACAAAAAAAACAAATAAAATATAAATGTAATAACAATTGTCTTTTGTGTCTCTAAATACATCTTTCAATAGTATATATCTTCAATAGTTTCTTAAGATAGAAGATATTAAAAGAAGAGATTAATTGAGGTTAAAGTTAGTTCTCTTTCTTTATTTCTTTCTCTCTCTCTCTCTCTCTCTCTCTCTCTCAAGAAAAGTGGGCAATAGTAAGAAAAACAATAAAAATCTGCTAACAATTTATTTTTATTTATTTATTTTTTGATAGATAAGAGTGTTTGTATGTTATATAATCAAAAATAAAATGTAATCTAAAATAAAAGTTTTTTTGTTCACTGCCTTCTAATGCCAAATAAATCTTATACATGTTGTTGTTGTGTTGTTTTATTTTGTTGTTGTATTTAGAGTTGTTTTTTTAAAAAAAAGTGATTACATTTTTATAATAAAGTTTTTAAAAATTATTACAATTTTTTCTAGTACTTATAGTTCAAGTATAGTAAAAAAAACTAACGCCCAAACAAAATATTGGGTCCTATTTTTCCATTTAAAAATTTAATATATATTTTACAACACGTTTTTAGAGATATATCTTATTTTTTTCTTCTACCAGAAGAAAAAGATTTTAGTTTTCAATTGCTTTTTGACACGTGAAGGACATCATAACATAATATATATATATATATATATATATATATAGAGAGAGAGAGAGAGAGTAAGGTTATAGAGATGGACGTTCCTGAGCTTAACTCCCGGGGCCCAACACATGCACTATTACAACCATTTGTGGTGTTTTACAGTATACCGTATGTACTGTTGTTTTTTTTTTGAGGCCCACACGAGTTTCGGCGCTCATAAATAAGTAAATCCTTTTTTACCATTATTATCATTACTGTGATATTAATGTCTCATATGTTTATTAGTAATTTGTTTTTTTTGCACAAAGTGTGTGCAAAAATATATGTAAAATTATAAATATATTGAGGGTTTTCAACTGAAAACAAGGTTTCTCTCTGTGGATACTTTTTTAAAGGCTATTATAATAATAATATATAATAAGGGATGACTGGCCTAAAAGTTTTGCAAAATTAATTGCAATGTTTTAAAATTGATTGCTTATGTAATCTATAAACCAGACACACATTTATTATTTATATTCCGTATAAATTATATAACAATAATAATAATATAATTCATTATATTTTTATGAAAACATCAGCGAAACTAATTTTATGTGTAAATGTTTTAACAAAACTGTTTCATATGTTTTTAACATTAGTATAGTAGTGAAGTAGAAAAAATTGATTACTTTAAATAAAGATAAAAATTATATATTTATTTATTATAATAAATGATAACTATTAATACTTGTATAACTTATACAACATATACTGTATATCTATATTTACAGTTATTTTATTTTATTACCTCTTTATTTCTAGTATCACTTTTTATTATAGCTACTATTATAATTGTCATTATATAATGATATTATAATAAAATATCGTAAAAACTAAAAACAAAAATTGATAATAATATAAAGTCACGTAGTCTAGTATTTCTAGTTATATAGTTATTTGCGCCAATTTTTGTTATTTATCCAAAATAAATAAATATGTTGCTTATTATCATTACTATTACTATTATAATTGTAACTGTATTATCATTATTATTATTATTATTATTATTTGTTGGGATCTATTTGTGGCAAAAATCTGTTTTGTATGTCAAAGACACAGTCGTTGGCTCTGTTTTTGAAGTAATTAGACTTATTTGAAAAGTGAGACAAATTAGGACTGCAAACCCTTATATGATATATACTCTGTTTATATGGCATTTTGGATGGCATTAAGTGTGTGTCCAAAAATCTCTTGAAATACTATATCCCATAACACGTGAATACGTATGGATTTATTTATGACTAAAAGGGATCGAAAGAGGGGAACGGGAGCTCATCTGTATTATTATTATTAGTAAATAGTACTATTACTGAAGCCCTTAGTTATAATGTATTATTGTTTTTGCAATTATTGCAGTTTTCTGCTGATAAACATATCTTAAAATTATTATTGCAAAATTGTAATATCAATTTTTATTTTAAAAATATTATTTTATTATGTAAATGTTTACTACAATACAATGTATTATCAGTAAATGTAATATATTAATACAGTATATAGATAATGTATATAATATTATATACATATACCTATGTTTTCAACTCAATATCTTTTATTTTATTACATTTTATTTACTTAATTTTTTTGCAGTGTTTGTTCAGATATTTAGTGAAGTGCTGTCACTTTATGTAAAAATCACTCAAAGTTATGATAGATTTGGATGAACTATAATAAATAAATTTCTTAAGACTTGAAATACATATATAAAAAAATGAGATAAAAAACTTAATATCATATGAATTTATGCAAACTATCATATATATACTGTATATATATTTTGATATAAACCATATTTAATTTATATAATATTTCACTATTTATCTATAACAAGGTATATTGAAATGTAATTCATTTGGAAATTAAACGATAGTGTCATATGAAGGACAGACACCAGAAAAAATTTAATATTTAATATATAGACACAAATAGATTTCAATACCAATACACACTTATGCCATATTAAAAGCTTTCAAAAAATTAATAATAATAATTTTGGGGTCGTCTGTGAGGTCCCTCTCAGCTATTAAACAAACATTACAGATATAGACATATTTAAAAAAAATAAATATATAATAATAATAATATTTATTGAAGATGTTATATATCATAATTTGTGAGAAAAACAAAAATCATGACTAACTTTTTTGTATATATATATATATATATTATATATACTATATTATTATATATTTAACTAACTATCCAAATATTATTTTATCGTTCATTAGCAGCAATTTGTAAGTAGCAAAAAATCATATATTATATATACAGTATATACTGTATATAAAATCCGTGTGTTTTTTATGCTAACCAATTATATATATATATATATATTACCAATATATATATACATAAAAAAACTGTAGACAGCTTATATAGTCTAGAATCCTGTATATTTATATATATATAATTTTTCGCCCCGGTCGTATAAATATATATAAATATAAATTGCTAGATAAGAGTGTCTGATATCGTATAAAAAGGGGGCACCGGGAGAGTGGATAGCAATGATAATTAAGGGGACATACCGGGCGCCAACTATTAGTTGATAGTTATGCACATCAAACAGCAACTGTCGATAGTAAGTGACACCAGTATGCGAATATCGCTCCACAACTTGAGGTGACAATCAATGAAAACAAAACAAAACAAAAAATTTAAAAAATAAGTAAATAAATAAACAAATTAATTAAGTTTTCAAAAATAATCAAACTTTCAAATTCAAAAATAATTTTATTTGCAAAAAAATGTTTTTTTTTCTAAACATCATTAATTTGAATAAACTTTTTTTTATTGAAATTATTTTTATTGCTGTTTCTCTCTCTCTCTCTCCTTATTTTTCTTCATTGGTTTCATTGAAATTCAAACTGTTTTCTATTCATTTTAAATATCATTATTTGCAGAAACCATAAGAAAGTAAATAAAAAGTTGATAACCGATACTTTTGTAGAGAAAAAAAACAAAACAAAAACCATTTACTATATTGACTTACAATTATTGGTATTTGTCGATAGTGTTACACAAATGCATAATAACAGCACATAATTATGCAGTAATTTGACTCTTAATTGACTTAACATATTATAAAATAATCGGAATATATTTATTTTCATTTAATATTTTTTTTAGTATAAAATGAAATAAAATTCAAAAATAACTTTTTTTTATAAATAAATAAATTTTGACTTTTTTAAAAATCACATAAAAATCATAATAAAATATTATTATTAATATATTTTTAAAAACTTGTATACAAAATCATAATTCAATTAAACAATTGTTGTTATATTTTTCCCTCCATTTATGAAAATCTTCACCCAATTATAATCGTAATAATAATATTATTATTAAATTCATTGTACTTTTGTTTTTGAGTTCAAGTACTGAATTAATTGGCGAAACATATAACAAGAAATTCAAAATATTTTATATTTTCAATTATGCTTTTCTATTACGGTTTGGGTGTGTATTACATAAGAAGTCACTGAATTATATTATATAACTTTTTGTGAAATAATTAAGTTTAAAAAACTTTTTATTATTATTATTATTATTACTGTTTAGTGAAAAAAAACTTGTGAAACAAATTGACAATTAATCGATCAATTGATTGAAAAACTGATCAAACAATAAGTGCAACGATAAGTTCGCGGCAAAAATGTTTGGACGGTTTGGTCAACACAGGGATCGGACCGTTAAGACAATTGGAAAACTTGGTCTATGTTTACATCTGGACAACAGATTGTCTGTTTCAAACACAACACAGCAGTTAAGGCACTGAAAAAACTGAATCTTAAGACCAGTTGTATTGATAAGGGCTGTGCAATGGATATGTAGTTTTAAAAGCAAAACGTGAAACTCGTCACAAATGCTCTCAAATGTGAAACTCATTTCAAGTTTCAAACAGCGCTGTAGTGTTAGAGACAGGCCTCAGATATGAAGGCAGTCCTGCATTGGACGAGCACTTGTTCCTCTTGTTTTGCCCTATCCTCAGGTTCTCTCTCTTTCCCTTTTGCCTATCACTCACTCACTTTGTCTGTCATCCCCTTCCCCTATATATATATATATATATATATATATATATATATATATATTCATAGCATATACTATATATATATATATAATACTATCCCTGAGCCAAGAGCTCAAATTCGTTAAGCACTCTGCCAGTGCTGGGTATGGCATACATACATAACACACACAACTTCTTGTATTTGGCGAACTTTGTCCCCAACTATTACTCAAAACAACACAACACTTCACTTCAAATCTATAGTCAGATTACACTCCTTATGCCTTTCCTCTATCAATACACACAACAACCAACTCCTCGCTAACAACAATCTCTTCGTTCAAAACCCTAAGCCCTGGCCTCAGACACACTGTGTTTGACTGCCTCTCACTCTTCTTAAGTCTTTTAAAGCATTTGTTACTCACTTTTTTGAAACTTCTTTTAACACTCAGAAAGCAATACAAAAAAAAGTTTTATTTTTTTGATGAAAAAAGGAGACAAACCCAGAGTTAGTGAGACCGTGAAGAGACGTTAGCCATTGCTTAACAATATTATTGAATATATAATACTTGTTATCAAATGATGAAAAGTTCTTTCACTAACTTTCAAAGCATTTTAACATTTAGTTAATAAAATTTGTATTAAAAAATCGGTTATAAAAATACTAACTGATTTGTTTTGTATACTTTATATACAGTATATAATAATTATTAATAAGGAAATAATTGCATTCAAAAATTACTACAATATAAACTATGCTATCCTACTGTTTGTATAAAATAAATTGCATTATAATTAAAGTGCCTATTAATTTTCACTCAATTTTTTACATATTGTATATATAATTATATGTTATAAATTATAACTTATAATATACAGTATATAATAACATTTAACATAATATATGTTAAACTGTGATAAAACAAATACTATATTTTATTTAACTATTTATGTATTTTTTAAAACTATTTATTCTGCAATTTATGCAAATCATAACTACAGTATCCATATATTACAGATCGCTCTATAAAAGTGTATCATTTTATATGTTATGTTAATTTAAAATGTATTGTAATGTTCTTAACGTTCAGTAAATCTCCCTTTCATTTAACTAATGCACTCATCCATGCATTAACACAGAGCTCAAGTACAGTAGGTTTTTCAAACTGTCTATCCCTGGCTATGCTTTCAATAAACCTCTTTTCTCTCGAAAAATTGATTATCAATAAAAATCTAAAGAGATAGTAGCAGTCCATAGACTTTCTGGTTTAACCGTTTAGTACTCTGAAATTGACAAAAGATGTTTTTACGGGTCTCTCTCTCTCTCTCTCTCTCTTTAATGCCCGGTATATATATATATATATATATTATATGAGCCTCTCCTACCCTCACCCACTACTCCTTGTCCAGCACTCACTCGCTCACAATTACTTTCCTCAGTCTAATTCACTGATGGACTCCACAGTGCTATATAAATGTCTCCAATGGAGTACTAAAAATCTCGTTAACCGCTCTCTCCATATGTGTTACGCTATTTCACTGTATATTCTCGTAGAGCACAGCCCTACAGCCCTGTGTGTGCAACACATATGTGTCGATGCGAGTGCTTATAAAGAATAAGCAACAGCCATAGAAAGAGAGAGAGAGAGAGAGAGAGAGAGCACAGGTAGGTTTTAGTGGAGTTCCCCTTTTAAATGCCTTTGTTATGAGACAGTCTTATGGCTATAAAACTCCTTTTATAATACTATGATGTGTATGACTAACCGTTTTTTTTTTGGAAACTTGTTAATAAAATACGTATACATTGCTTGAGATCCCTGTCCACACTGTCTTTACACTCGTATATGTCAACACACCTGAGCAACTCGTAAGAGTTATATTAGACATATCGGTGCTATTAAATACAAATATATACCTGTATTATTGCAAGCATTTGCAATGTAAAATCAATATACAAGATAACTACAGGTGTGTATGTATTGTCAGAAAGACATTAATACCTTTTTTCATTACTTTTAAAATTGCAAACAAATTATATATAACAACAAAAAATAATATTAGTTTATAATTCCCAGGAATCGCATTGCATGTGATTATACGGATATTATAAACAATTGACGACTAGTATAGTAATGCAATATATAAACATTTTAGGAGATAACACACTATGTGTTTAACTAACTATTTGTGTCGAATATTTTTAAAATAGCATTCATTATTAATAATAATAATATAATCAAACATAAAATTCTTGTTAAAAACTAATTTATAATACAGTATTTTTTTTGGTCTAAATGTAGTGCAGATTATTATTGTAACAATTGTGTGCACAACAGGCATATACCGTGTAATCCAAACCCAACAAAACATTCATACAATTTATTTAGTGATATATTTGTTTAAATTTGTAAATCAAAGAATCAATAGTTTAAAAACTAAAAGAAACAGAAAACCAATGTTTGATTAGATTATTGACAAAAACTGCTTAACTTAAACACAAAGCGACTGTCAGTTTTAAAAAGTCTAATCTGAATCATAACATAATTTTCATGTGATATATGGGCTCTAAAATAGTGTGATTAATATATATATATATAAACTTTATATATATATATATTATTAATAATTTAATAAATAATCATCAAATTTAATTTATATTAAACAAAAAATAAATAAATATAGTGATAACCAAATTGATTTATCATCAACAAAAATAAAATAAAAAATAACCTCATTTAATGTAACACTTGTTTAATTAAAATTTATATATATATATATATATATATTCTTTAAGTAATTGAATTTAATATGTGTTAGCCATACAAACCCCAACTCCCTGTGCAAAGAGGACGTCCTTTACGTTCAGTTATCTTTTTTTACTAATGCAAACCTATTATAGCAGTGAATAATATAAGGAGAAAAAACACAGCAATTATATTATTATTATTATATTGAATACAATATATTGTTTTTAACACACAATTTCTTATATTATTAATATTAAATCCATTTCAACCTAAAACATACTAATAATAATAATAATAATAAACTCATATTTTTTATATCACATATAAAAAATCAATTCAAATTGACATAAAAGACAACAACAGTTGTTGATTGTATTGTTGACTTCATAGTTATTATTATCACCAAATGAATTGATCCACTAATGAATCGATATATTAATATGCATTTGCCATACAATTAAATACAACTAATTGTTTTGGTTTTTATTATATTTAGTTATAGTGTGTCTGTCTGTGTGTGTGTTTGTGTTTGTATGTATCCATTGCTTTATGTATTATAATAATTATAATGATCATCATTTAAACATACATATATGTATAAGCATTTTTAGCAAGCTCATAATTTTATGCTAGTGTGTTTTTTTAATAAATAATAATAATAACCATCAATTGAGTTATCATAAATTGATCCAGTGAAATTATCATTAATATTATTATTATTACCAATTATTCAGTGATAGGATATATTAATAATTAATAATATCTTTGATTTCATTACATATCGCTTTTACTGTTGATTTTTTTGTTGTTGGTATTGATATAACCATAAGATATCATATGTATCGTTAAATTTCTGGTCATATTTTGTATCATATGGTGGACCGAAATGCAGAGATTATGACCGAATATAAGCTGGTCGTTGTCGGCGGTAAGTAAAGAGAGAGAGAGAGAGCCCCGACCTAACGGTGCCGATAGAATAGGACGATATAATACCAATGTTTATATTCATAAAACTAATAACCATTTTATTTTGTTATCTGACTTATAGCCGGAGGCGTTGGCAAAAGTGCCTTAACTATACAATTGATTCAAAACCAGTAAGTTTTTGATACAAACACACACACACTAGTGATGATTATCACCAAAAATTGATGTATCATTTAATTATTTTATTTTTATTTACTAAATAGTTTTGTCGATGAATATGATCCAACAATCGAGGACTCGTACAGAAAGCAAGTGGTCATCGATGGCGAAACATGTTTGCTGGACATACTGGACACTGCCGGTCAAGAGGAGTACAGGTATAGCACACATACTGATGCTGTGGTTATGTATTGATTTTAATTAAATTGTTTTTATCTTCTTCAGCGCAATGCGTGACCAATATATGCGAACCGGAGAGGGTTTCCTATTAGTGTTTGCTGTTAATAATGCCAAGTCTTTTGAGGACATCTCTATGTATAGGGAACAGGTATGTCATAAAAATATATTGTGACACACTTTTTCAAAAAAACCACACACTGTTACCAAACACTAAGACATTTAAGTGTAATCAATCAACAAATAAAAAAATTTTAAGCAAAAAATAAAAAAAGAGTCATTTAATGATATAATAAATTTACTTATTATAATCATATAAATAATAATCGTTTATAAAGAACACTAAATCCTATTTATAGCATAACTTTATATTATTATTAAAAAATAATTTTATAATTCACTGACATTTAGCACATAACTCATAAAAAATAATGTAATGTCATTATATAACAAACAAAAAAATCTGTTAATAAAAATAGCTTATCTGATATTACAATAAGTAGTGATAACTATCATAAATAATAAATAAATATATAATTAAATAATAAATCTTTAAAAAAAAATTAAGTACATAATATATATGCCGATAACCGTTTAGATAAAGCGCGTCAAAGACGCCGATGACGTGCCGATGGTATTAGTGGGCAATAAATGCGATTTACCGACCCGTGCGGTGGACATGCGGGCGGCCAACGAGGTGGCCAAAAACTATGGCATACCATTTGTCGAAACATCGGCTAAGACCAGGATGGGTGTCGACGACGCTTTCTATACATTGGTCAGAGAAATACGCAAAGATAGGGATCGCAAAGGCAAAGACAAGAAGAAACACCGGGAAAAGGGACGCAAAAAGAAGTGCTGTATTATATAGTTATTAATTGATTATTAATATTTGATTATTATTAGTAATTATATAAATATATTATAAACCAATTAATTACGAGAGAGAGAGAAATAGAGAGAGAAAGAGTAAGAATAAGAGGAGACGAAACTTTTGACGATTTAAATAACCATTTTATTATTATTATTATTAATTAATTGATTGATAAATGACTCGTTAATGTTGTCATTATTTATCATAACTGAAAATCTATTATAAATTTTAATTGTTTAAATTGATTGATTAACTTAATCGACTTGAAATGAATCAATTTTTAAGCCAATTTATTTACATTTGCTATAATTGCAAAGATTAATATAAACAAATAATTAATTAAATTACAAATTGAAAAACAGATTTTTTTTAAAAAAGATTTTTCAGTTTTTTTTTAAATATTTTAAAATTAAATATTTTATTGTTTATTATCATCTATTTATGTTACTATTTAATAATTTACTCAACTTTTTATTTAATATATTATTATTAAATAGGATTAAATTATATTTAACATCAATTATTATGATTTAGTTATCCGATTTCGGTATTTAGTATCCAAAACCAAGTGATACAAATAGACATCATTTAAAATTTATTAGTAAATGTTAAAACCAATGTTAACAACAATTAACTTTTCTTAATGAATTAACTTTTTATTCAATGAATTAGACAATAATTAATAATTATACCTATTTTAAAATTATATTCAAATATACATTTTATTATCAAATAATATTTAAATTAATTGATTAACTAATTAATTATTTAAAAAACGAATTTTTGGTTGTATAAATTAAATCTATGATTATTATTATAATTATATTTATTAATATAGAAATACAAAATCCAAGACATTATTATAAATTTAAATAATTAATTTGAATACTAATTTATAGAAAATATTAAATATTTAAACAAAATTATTAACAATTATAACAATTGTGTAACTTTTTTATTTATAAAAACATTGCTTTTTTGTATCATAAATGCAACGAAACAATTGAATTGTAATTATTGTTGTGTTGGGACCGGTATATACTGTCACTTGAAGTTGGCGTATGTGTCAAAGTATTGTAGATAACTGATGGCTATTTGATGCAAAAACTTGTACTGATCCTACATTTTAATAACATTTCAAAAACAATAATAAAAAATTTGTTGATATCTCCACAATTTAAGTGATTATTATTTTTACCAAATCAGTGATGAATTGGGGTCTTGTGGTGCGCACCGTTTGTACAGCTAGAAAGACGTCGATCTCCTGTTCCTCTTTAATGCGGTCGCATTCAAAACTCATGGCACAAAATATACCACTGGCCTGATTGCCATCACTTTAAAAAAATATGAAAATAATTGATTTTTAATTAGCAGATTTTATTTTATTTGTTGATAAAATCTTATGAGAATCTTACTGTACTTTAATAATTTATAATTAGCTTATCAATCATATAGTGTTTGAATAATACTTATATTAATAGCCTTATTGTAAATTATAATTTATTATATATTTTAATAATCTTGTATTTCAACTGATACTTACAAACATTGAACTACAATACTATTAGAGTTGAACTGTAGGTTCCACTGATCAGTCATTTCCATCAAATCGATGATTGTTTGCGGTGTTGGAGGTCTATTGGCCATCACTGGCCAGCCTTTTAAATGAAACTGTTTGACTGTAAGATCGCTTTGTGGTAAATGAAAGACACGTATTATCACATTATTGTGCGGTTCTTCGCTAACTAACTGAACTGATATATTATTATCAGTAAAATCCAATTGTTTGTTTTCAACTGTCGGCCAATACTTCAAACAAATTTAGACAATAAATAAATATTTTTATAGTTTTTAAATGCTATTCACTCACAATTTGATCCGATTTGATATCATTGAGCAGAACAATGGTTTTGCTGGCCGTCGACACTATCATCTGCCAGAAATGGCTGCGACTGACCTCAAGTGGCACTTGAGTTGCAATGTAGGCGTCGCGACGTTTATAACCCTATTATGAAATTTATTATTTTTAAAATTAATTAAATTATTTCATTTTAAATTTAGATACTTTGCCAATTAAATGTGTTATTCTAAGTAATCAATTACTTTTAAAATTAATTTTGCAAAAAAAAATCTTTACGTAGATTAGCATTAAAAAGTTTCCGATAAAAATTTACTAACATTTATATAAACAGCGTTAATGTAGTCATCATTTCCGGGAAGAATAACACGCGAAAAATCAGCTAAAATGTCATTTAAAAATATGCGACAATAAAATACAGTCATTAATATTAATATTATTATTATTATTATCATCATTAAGGTTATACAATTATCCAGGTATTTTAATGAGACATACGTGGTATGATATTTTGATTTCTATTAAGGTGTTGATGCGATCGTGCACTTTGACATACATCAGGGTTAAGCATTTGTGGCGACAATTTGTTGAGAATCTGTAACCAGGAATTACCGGTAAAAAAATAAATAATATTAAATATATTTCACGGAATATTACTAATTGATAATTACCTGAAATTGTTTCATTATTGGCAATGTTTTACTGTTGCTGTCATAGTGGATGAGTTTAGTGAAATAGTTTTGAAAGTCATTGCATGCGATACTTGTCGGCTCATGGGATAGGGCCTCCAGAAGCGATTGGTGTGCAAATATATATTGTCCCAACTTCTCGATCAAATTGATCCGCTGTTGTCGCATAACGCACAGCTGTTTCAATATGTCGATCTGTTTGTCGTGTTGGGCCGCCTCTAGCATCGCATCGATCAATATGTAAGTACCGGTACGGCCGACACCGGCACTGCAGTGGACAACAATTGGTTGATTGGGTTTGTAGTGTACGGATGAACGCATTTTTCTTACAAACGAGATCAGCGAACAGGCATACATAGGAACGTTATGATCGGGCCATGAAATGAAATGATACTGAAGTATTTCACGTTCAACTCCTTCCTGTCAAACATTATAATACATTTAAATAAATAAATATATATTTAATACAAACAATTAATTTAATTGTAATATAATTTAATACTTTTTCGGCACAAAACCAGCGAATGATATAATCGGCAAACATTTCGGTTTTTGTTAAATTAACTTTGATATCACCATAATTGGCACTGTTATGGTCGGGCCAGTACTTGTCACACTTGTTCTGTTATATAAAAATATAATAATAGATTTTAATCAACAATCTATGATTGACACACAAAAAAATGTTAATACCTTTCCTCCCTCATCAAGACTGGTAAGCATAACGATCTGGTGAGTGTCCAACTGCCAGATCATACGCCAAAAGTCACTGATAGTGTTGGGCAACGGTCCCTGAGTGGCCACATATCGGTTGTTGACTTTACAGCCGTCCACATAATTGGCATTTATATAATCAGTGTTACTGTCGTTGTTGATAATATCTAACACAACTCTCGAGTGGTCGTATGGCAACAGATTTCCGTATCGGTTCTTTGATCTGTGCTGTACTTGTTTGCCGTAATCCCATCGCATCAGTTGACCTCTGGATACACTCATAAACTCTTGTTTTAAAACATTGTTTTCAATCATCAACGGAATGGTATCACTCAGGTCTGACAAATCTAACGGATGTGTCTTTATTTCAAACTCTTGTTCGTGAAATGAACCGAATGATAGTGTTGAGCACCGGTAGGACTGGTCGTAAGCTATTTTCATTTTTCATTCAAAAAAAAATAATCATAAATTATTATATATTTTATATATCATAGAATATAAATTATTAATTTTATATAACTATTGTTATTTATAAAGGAATTAATTTAATAAAATAATTTCAAATTATTGAAAATAATTATAACAATTCATTATCCTTGAAATTAATTATTTGTTATATCATCATAGGATTAATTAGTAATATATTTATATAATCATTAATTCAAATATTAATAACATATTTAGAAAATAAATTGAATCAATCAATAGATACCATTGTCTTTGTCTCGTCTCAAGAGTTTTCTTCTGTCACTTTTGGTCCACAATAGGAAGACATTGTGTAGTCGACTCTCACCGGCATAGTTGCTGTCCAATCATACAATTATAGCCATACGAATGATAATTATTTAAAAATATATATTAAAATATTATCTCAAATAAATTATATAAATGACAAAACTTACATATAGAGCAATACAGCTAACAAAACAAATGTTATTAGCAATAAAATGGCCAAAATTGCAATTAATATTATTTCGAGATTACCGTCCGTTTTAGGGGTCACTGTATATGGTTTGGCCATATAATTGTAATTACAAAAAATGTAACAATTTTTTAAAATAAAACTTTTTTAACAAAATTAATGTTTCATTTATTATTCATACAAACCGGAAACAGAATCGCTATTAATGAACATTTGTTGAAGAGTTTTGTCAAAAATACCGAATTTGTATTTGAATGCAGTGTCCAAACCATTAAAGTCAATGATGTGATTATTTTTCATACAATTCACGTAAACCATGTGTTTGTCATCTGATATTATCTGCTGGTGTTTGCTTCCGGGCGACCACTTCTTCTCGTTAAACAAATCTCTTATAACTTGTTCGCTAATCTTTTCATCGTCTTTGTTGACTAATTTAATGGCCATTACATAAAGATTATCAGATTTCTGATCACTTAAACAGGAATCGATGGCAGTCTGTACTCTTGTGACACCATTTTTCACGGCAATCACTGTGACTGTAGTTTAATATTTTAAAAATAAATTAATTAAATTTTCTATAAATTTAATAATAATATGTTTGTTAAATATTTTACATTTATTATTATTTCTAACACAATCTGCGTTCGGGTTATTAGGGTTTTCGTTGGTCTCATAATTTGGTTGTGAATAACAAAAACATACTGTTTTACAAAATAATTTACATTAAATTTAATAAATTATAAAATTAATTAACAGAATACTGACCAAAAATTAATATTAGGAATATTAGAAATTTAATCATTTTAATCAACAAAATAAATTGCTATCATATGAAATATATACATATATTATATATGATTTAAAACAATTAAAATAATATTTTTATAGTAATGTAAAACCAAACATTTTGAATACAATTGTATTATTTAATTAATATTTTAATAACATTTGATCTTTTTTTGGAGATAAAACGGGATGTTTGCATATCCTCTCTATAGACAACTTTTTTAAAATAATTACCGTATAAGTTATAAACATATAACATATATATATACTGCATATAAATTTATATCATATATATAATTTATAATTACACTCATTTGCCGGGATGTGATGCAAATAAAATTTTTTATTTGTGATATTATTATTATTATTATTAAATTTCGTATTAAATTATTCAAAAAACAATTTCTCATAATATAGAAAACTAAAAACATTGATGAGTTAAATAAAATAATTTTTATACAAAGAAATGATTGTGGACCCAATTGATCAACAATATCTTTATATCGGTAATTATATTTCAGTGATACATATTATTAGAAAAATAATTTTAATATTATATACATAATTAGGGTTCAATCAAAATTTTGTATATAAATATTAGTTTAATATAATATAATTGGAATTATTTTTTAGTAATATTTATATTACAATCGTATCGATAAAAACTTTTTTAATAAATTAGATTTGTTTTGTAATCGATTCATCTTTTTATCGGATCTTTTGTTGAGATATTCTTCACTTTTGGATACTTTTATTTGATTTGTGAAATACAAGTCATAGACATCCGGATGATATGACTTAAACTAAAAAAAATTAAAAAATTAAACTATATATTAAACAATAATTTGATAACTACCGGTAATTTCCTCAATACCTGTTTAATCCATTTGAGTTTATCCCTATCACTAAGTCGTTCATCAGTCATAATACTCTTCAATAGGTCGGCCAACGCATACTCAGACATTACATCTCTCTGTAGTTCAAACTCTTCACTTGTTATTGTCTGACAATATTGTTTAACTTGTTGTTCACTAAATAATTTCTAATGATATTTACAAATAATGATTAATAAAATGCAAAAAAATTCACATATATTCAGTAAATTTACTATCAATACAATACCTCTTTAGCTTTATTTACAAGAAGTTCATTAATTTCTTGCATTAGATTCTGTGGTACTTTAAAAAGTTCTTTACATTCGTCGAGCAAAAGACAAACAATTTTCTGTGCTTTTAATTCGTCATAAATACTCTCTTTGTCGGCGCATAATATACTTCTGGTAAATATCATTAATATCTATTTATATTATAAGAAACAAATAATTTTAAATCAATTTATAAATCAATTAAACGAATAATTTATAAATATTTACATAATCCTTGACTGAAATATCTTCGTTAAAACAGAACTTGATTTCCTTATTTTGGATAATCTTCGACATTAATCGTAATAATAGATGTAAATGTCTTCTATTTGATGACGGCATTAACAATAGACACAATCTTAATGTTTCGATCAATTTTTCTTCATTGTTGTCGTCGTTTTTATTAATTACAGTATTTTGTAGCGAATTATTTGATGACTTAGAGAACTGTGCGCTTAAGTTGTCTTTTGGATCACTTTGAGAAACGGGTGACATCTGAATGGTTGACAGCGACGATACGCTTTTGTTTTCCATATATTCGCCGTCTTCGGTGGGACTTTGCATTGCAAAGCCGTAATTATAATAACCAAATGGACTACCATTACTACCGGCGCTTGAGTTTGGCGACTGGTATCTAGTTTTGTAAATACTTTCACTGATAGGACTTTTATAGCAATTAAACTTTCGCGGTATTCTGGGTATAGTTGTTATGGCGTCAACATAACGATTGGTGCAATCATTTGATTTCATCGGTTGATTTCTATAACTATTCTCACGAAATGAACTTCGACTTCGAATCCGTGGATTGTTCACAAAAAGATTCGTTAGTTCATCAATGGATACAATTTTGGTGACCGGTATATCACCCATGAATACCGTTTCATAGATATGATTAGGTGGCAAATCTACAGTAGTTTTGGGCGCTTGAGATTCAAGTATTGGTGTCGATGTGTTTTGCTTATTGAGTTTTGCGGTCAAAGTGTAGTGAACAGGTGTTGGCATCTGATTAGACATTGATTTTCTGTTGAGATTCAAGCTATTCATATGTATGGTATTTGATGGGATAATTGATTTAAATGTGAATTTGTCGTATATATGAATTATTAATGGATATAATTGATTGGGAATTAATGGTATTCCTATATTAATAAAATAGTCTCTCACAACAGCAAAGACATCGTTTTCAAAACCCGGATATTTCGGTAAACAGCTGTCACTTCCCGACGCTTTTGGCCCTAAAATATGATTAAAATTTATTAATAAAAATATTATTGAAATATTGAAAACTTTTTATTATTACAATTAGCCAAACATTTCATAGCTGACATCACCCAATGGGGTAAATCTTCAGTCTTATCTGTGAGTCTGACCACACCGTTAGGACTAATTCGGGTCATATTATGCATTAAATTCAATGAAATTATTTCATCTTTTCTAATAAAATCATCGACTTTTGGTAATAAAGTCGAAAATCGATCAAAAAATATTTGCTTAAAGACATCACATCTTTCGGTTAATGACATCTCATTAATAGCTCTTGTGATACATTGTTCATCATATTTGACTGAATTATCTGACTTTTTATCTTCACAGCTATCACCGCCTATGACAGCGGACATCGGCTTCAGGTTAGAGCTCGATATAAACGGCAGATTCTCATTGGCCTCACGTGTAAATCGATACAAGTCTTTGTTGTCCTGAAACTCGTCACCAACTTTACGTGTGTCCACATTCTCGATGACACCGGTCTGAAGATATTTTCTCAACAAATTGATGGCTTGATATCTGGTAATTAATATCAATGATATATGCATAAGCAATGTCGTACCCAATCCGCGACTAATTTAAAGTCAATTACAAACCTTGTTATCTGTTGTCCGTCAAAATGTGAACACATTTGGAGATAACTGTGTATCCAATTGACGGCTTCGTTGGCCACAAAACAGTTGTAATGACTTTTCATATGTTTTCTGTGTTTCTTTAGTTGGATTCCGATATAAAATGAATGCAACACTTGATTCCACTGAAGACAAGATCACAAAAGAAAGCAACAATCGATGACAACAACGATATAATAAAATAAGCAATAATTAAGACATTCATATAATCAAAGACATCTAAAAGACATTATTATTATCTCAACCAAGAGATTCATTGCATGCACTTAGAGAGAGACCAAACTGAAGAAGTGATTCATTTAATCAAATCAATTGATAACATATCTTAACAAAATACTGACCACTTTTGTTGCCCGAAACATATCGGGTTTTCTCTGATGGTGTCCATCGTTACGGATGTCATGCAAAGCATTATTCATTTTTTTAAAAAAATAAATTTATTATTTCTTAAATTAAATTTTAAATATTTTATCTTAACGTCTATACAATCAATACTAAACAAACAAATAAAAACAAAATTCAAATTTAAAAGAAAAAAGTTTTCATTTGAATAAAACATTTGATATATTCATTGATTCAAATGTATTGTAAAACAGTTTTTCTCTCCAATAATAATAATAATAAGTTTTTAGCGCTTTTCTCAACCGTTTTCTCATTCAATCGTAAAGTTTTTGGGTTCTATATGTCGACCAATGGCTGGGCTTTTAGAACCAGTCGTTGGGGGAGTTGTTTGTATTGTTATATTATATATGTTTTTAATGCTAATTATATTTTACTGTATATTAAGTATATTTTATCAACAAAAAAAATAATTTATATAAAACATAAGATACAATATAAATGGAAAAACAATTTAAATTTAAAATTATTAATTATACAAAATATTTCAATTATTAAAATAATTTAAATGAGTTAAGAGAGTATAGACTCCATACCTATGTTTAGAACATTTAAACTTTTTGTTTGACAAAATCACTTACAATTACGCCCTCTATATTAGGGCTTTATTTTTCAAACATTTAATAAATTAAAGTAGCAGGCGCGGTTAAGGAAATTTTTGAAATTAATATTTTAATTGATATATTTTAATATATAATAAAATTTTACAGATATATATTAAATTTTAGATCAATCGGATCAATATTTTTGTAGTTATTAATTAAAATAAATTTTGATTATAATGGGAGGTATACAAGAAAAATCAAACTTTGACCCCTCAAAAAACACCCGTCCCTGGGATCAATTGCCATGAAATTTTTTTGTTGACATTATAATTATAAATAGATGTTTTTAGGAAAGTGTGGATCTGCTCCTGAAACATAATCTTAAAATTATCAATAATTAATTTATATATATTGAGCCTAATTAATTTATATATGTCGGGGAGTTAAAAATTTATAAAAAAAAATTATGTAACATCACATGACAAATTAATTAACACAAAAATTAGTTTAAAATATGTGACTCAACTGTACTATATCAATAATAATTATCAAAATATAAATTATTGATTTTATAAATTATTGTTTTGATAAAACTGATTTTTAATAATTTAATTGTACTCAACTTTGTACAATTAAAAAATAATTAAAAAATAATTAATATATAAGTATTATAATTTTAAAAATTATAACATTAAATTATTAAAAATCATTTTTATTAAAATAATAATTAATAAAATCAATGATTATTATTTTGATAATTATTATTGATATAGTACAGTTGAGTCACATATTTTAAACTAATTTTTGTGTCAATTAATTTGTCATGTGATATTACATAATTTTTATAAATTTTAAACTCACCGACCGGCTCAATATATATAATTTAATTATTGATAATTTTAAGATTATGTTTCAGGAGCAGATCCACACTTTCCTAAAAACATCTATTTATAATTATAATGTCAACAAAAAAATTTCATGGCAATTGATCCCAGGGACGGGTGTTTTTTGAGGGGTCAAAGTTTGATTTTTCTTGTATACCTCCCATTATAATCAAAAAATATTTTATTTAATAATTATAAAAATATTGATCCGATTGATCTAAAATTTAATATATATCTGTAAAATTTTATTATATATTAAAATATATCAATTAAAATATTAATTTCAAAAATTTCCTTAACCGCGCCTGCTACTTTAATTTCAATAAAAATAAAATCAATAATTAATTGGCAATTTTGACAATTGTTATGTTTATTTGGTATTATTATTGAAAATTATATATATATTTATTTACGTTAAGTACACATCGATATTATTCATCAAATTCATAATTATTTGTCAAAGTTTTTAAAACTATACCCAATTATATATCGTAATTAAGTTTAATTCTTATTGTATAACAGTTATTAAATTTTATAGATTTTAAATCTCTTATTATATCAATATATATAAGTAAATACAAGAGTAATAATAATATTATTCATATTAATAATTAGATTTTTTTTTTTGTATTTTTCGCAATTTGCCAAAATAAAGGTAACAACTAATTAACAACTAATAATCATTATATAGTATATAAAATTCTAGACAAATTCTAGAATTCTAAAAGTCAAAGACTAGATTTCATAAGGAAATAATTCAACAAAAAAATGAAAAAAAAACAATTATATGATTAGCGTATAAGTGAGCAAATTAAACACAAAAAATGTTTTAAAGATGATATATCAGATAATTATATAATAATGTATATAAATTGAAAACAAATAAAAAATAAAAACAATGAGTAAAACTATACAATAATTCAGTCGAAACTACTGTTATAATTGTCTACACTCTGGCCATGGCATAGGTAGGTGCCTGAAGATAGTTATTGCTACTCTTCTCGCTATGACAAGTGGTCAGTAGTGTTAAATTGGGTGCTGAAGCAGAGCTACGCAAAATGTTGCGCTGTTTTGCCAGTTGAAAGCTTCGCCTGAGTTCGAGTTCCTGTATGTAATACTCGGCCTGTTTGACGCCTAACTCAGCTGCCCGTCTCAACAATGTCTCGGCCCGATCCAAATCTACAGCAATGTCACCCTTTCCGTACAAATAAAAGAGTGAGAGGTTATAGATAGCATTCTTGTGACCCATAGATGCTGACAGTGCGTAGTGTCTAAATGCAGACTTTAGATCAACAGTTCCATCAGCCGAATAACGACCACTTTCATAGGCCACTCCTAAATTAAACAATGCCTTTGGATTTGATTTACTCGATGACCAACATTTTATGGCTTCATCAGGATCTGTATTGATAAGCGAAATGCCCAACAAATTATTCAACTGATCCACATAATCAATGGATGCAGTTTGCAATTGTTTGCAGAGATCTTCAATCGGATCCGTTTCGCTTTTGATTTCATTTTCAATGTTATTCTTACTTTCATCGCAAGTTCGTTCTTTGAGTTCTTCATTAACCACGATTTGTGTGGAATTAGTTATGTAACGACTGTTTCCATTATTAAAGTAGTGATTTTTACGAATGGGTGCCGAGAAGACACTGGGGAACAGCTTAGATAGGAAAGCGTTACAGTAATGGCAACGACCGCACACTTTCCAACATTTGTCGCCATCGTTGGCGGTTCCCTCCAATCTGTCACAGATCTGTGTTAGTCGAGGTCGTCCCGTTGTGTGTAAGTTATGTAGTGGACCCTCAAAATGTAGTCCCACCACCAGTGCCGCACCCTTTATGTCGAGTAAAATACAAAAATCAATTTAATAATACGGGTAATACAATAGTAAAGTTTCATTATCGCAATAATATACAAACAATTTATCAGTTGATAAGTTAATTGTAACAAATTATTATTGACTAAATAATCTCATCACAAAAATTAACTACACTTTTATAAGACAAATGAAAACTTTGATACGTGTCTGACATTTGAAAACTTTTTATTTATTTTTGGCTAAAACTTTTATTGTATTTATAATTTGCATAATCTTTACTAAAATTTCATACTTATGTCACCTTTTAAACAACATAACTAAAAAACATCATTTATTAAATATATATATAATTTATATATATAGAGATTATAATGAACTAAATGTTAATGAAAAAAAAGTTTCAAATGTCAAACACGTATAACATTTTTTATGATATACACTGTATATTATACAGTACTAAATAAAGTACTGTACTTTTATCTACATGTTTATTATAACATAGATATAATCTCTTAAAAGTCACATAAATAATACTATATAACTTAAATGTATAGTAAAAATTAGACATAAATACTATATATAAAACTATTTATAATACTGTATAATATTACACAACATACACATACTGTTTATTTAATATAATTGATGCCAAACAATGGATTTTAATTAAAATATAACATACTGTTTATATAAGCATTATATGATATATGACTATTTTGTATAAATAAGGTAAATAGGACTAATAAGCAATAAAATTATTATTGTTATTATTCAAAATTCCACAATGACCAAGACACTTTATATAAATTATAATAACATTAATAAATTGCTTATTTATATATAAAAAACCACTTGTTTTCAATTAACTGGTAAATTGCTTATCATTCAAATATATATATATATATCGCACTAAAAACTGAATTCAATATATTAAATGTTTTGAGTACTTTTATAATAATAAAAAACAAATTGAGTTCATTTTTAGCTAACAAATCACATAATTAATTATCATTGATATACAATATGATTAAACTGCATATGTTTTGTCTAATATTAGTCTTATGACTGAATTTATTAAATTATTTCAAAATATAACTGCAATAAACAACAATAAACTTATTAAAAAAAACTACATCTACTAAAATTACTAGACTAATAATAAAAATAATAAATTTAATATAAATGGCATAATAATAATAAACTTATATCCTATTAGTTATATTATATATTCATTATATGATATATAATTATGCCAACAGTGCAAATAATTAATTTAATATTAAATAACTTTAAGATAAAGTAAATGATAATAAATAATTAATCATAAATTAAGATTAAGTATTTGTTGTGCTTATAATAAATGCAATAAAATGATACGATATATCATATGATAATAATGTATGAATGAATGGTAACATACAATGTATCCAATCTTCTCCAGAAGTCTTATTGTCATCAAATGGTATTTGCATTCACTGAATGAAAAGGTGTTTGATTTGCACTTTTCGTTTCGTTGTCCATCTCTATGATTGCCGTCGTCTTTATTGTCATCGCTTCCAGAATTAGATTTGGTGTCAAACTTGTTGTCATAATATCTTTGGTAGTATTCGTGGTATAGTCGAGTGTATTCATCGACGTCCTGATCTTGAAAGTGGTAATACTTTTGTTGTTGTTGTTGACAACTATTGGCTGACCAGTTATTGTCATCAGCTGTTTGTTGACCACTTTGGTCGGCATCTGATTGTTGTCGACTAACATCTTGATTGGCATAAAATCTTTTCACATAATTGTTTGTTTGTATGGATTTGAATGTCTGTCTATTGAGTGCTCTTAACAAATGGGATAACATTTTGATTGGGGTTTTGCGGTGATGTCTTCAGGGACGACGAAAAAGAGGGGACAACACACTAATAACAAATAAAGACTACGAATTGTTTGTTAACATCTTAGGCATCAAATGCTTGATCACTATTATCATTACAAACACGTTGTTATTGCCGTCAAAGTGGTCACCGAAAGGCACTTTCAATGTTTGTATTATTGTTTGAAACAAATTCAATGTCTATTCAATACATTCAATGGAGTCCTATATTAGTAAACATGTGATCACAAACTGCTTTAGCACTGTTTACATACTTTTATCGCAAATACAAACACATAGATTAGGATACATACATAATGTGCTTAATATGCATAATATGTATGACTATATATAAGCTCCGCCTATCACAGGCACTAACTGTTGTAACGTGCGATCATTGTATTACTAGTTAACCCTTTAAAGACAATAATGTCATTTAAAGTCATATTTGGACACAAATTACGTCCAATTTATATTTGTGTCGACATTATTGACGTCCAAAACATTGCGAGTATTTGATTGACATATCATTTGTTGTTTAGACCAAACATTTCGGTAATTGATTTGATGTCCACATCGCTTGTCATATCAGTAGACAACCCGTGAGTTTTACCGGCGGGCGCACACCGGTGGTCAATCAGATCGGTTGGACACAGAAGTGGCGCCGCAAGTATGTCGGACCCACACATCTGCGACAACAGCGATCTGATCGAGTTGTGTCCGCAACTTGATCTGTATCTCAAACCGCACGCCAAACTGACCATTACGGTGACACTGCCGACATTGAAGGTAATGGACAATAGCGGACAAGTGATGACCATTAGTACGTGGGAAGTGATGGACAAACTAAAAAAGAAAGTCAAACCACTAAAGTTTAAGACATTAAAAGTCAGTAAATCTAACATTGAGTTCATCCGGTTTGAGGCCGAATGCGATTCACAGCACAGTCTCGACCAGACTGAGGCCAGACTTAATAAAGTATCGCTGAAATTATCGGGTTTTGCCCAACTATTGTTGGTTAAGACGGCCAGAGTTAAGATAGGTTAGTGTTGGAAATGATTTGGTATTGATTTTTGAGTTATTAGAAAATCTTGTCATTTGGTTTTCAGGATCAACTCGTCACGAATGGGAGACATTTTTTAGAGATAATCAGCACATGAATGAAATGAAGGCCGGGTGCAGACCCGACACACTTTATATACAGGTGCGCTGTTTTCAATTAATTTATTAAAAAATCAATTATTACGGTAATTGTTGATATTTTTACAGTCATTACCAGTCAAATGGTTTGGCGGTGAGAAACCCAGTCCTAACCTATTAGTTAAAGTTTTCGGCATATTTGGTGACATACGAAGATTCCATATACCAGTTCTCGACAAGAAAGATGAAGAGGACGGCTTTAAACGTTTTAATTTTAGTGAGAGTCTTAGTTTTGAGGCATATCTACAATACAAGGATTATATTAGTTTTGTCAAAGCCATGGATGCACTGAAAGGAATGAAATTAGTGAAGAAATTGACTGAAGTGAACAATAAGAAACACAATTATCTCGAATATGATATTAATGTCGATTTTGACAAAACTAAACATTTGAGTGATAAAGCTATCAAAAAGCGAAGACTTGCCAGAGATTATGGTATAACATCTGCTGTTGAACTGAAGAAATTGAAAGATGAGACTAAAAGACAAAGAGAATTACGTCAGCAGAGGATCGATCTGTTAATAGAACGCAAAAAGACAGCGAAGACTATTTTGACACATTTGATGAAAGCTGTCGAAGCAAAAGTAAGGGTAAAGAAAACAGAAGAAGAACATCAATCAGCTGAACAACGAATCAAAGACAGGTTACTCTTAGAAGAAGTGAAACTTAGAGAAAAACTACTCGAAAGACGACGTGAAAAGTTGAGAGAAGAGGCAAAAGGAAAACTCAAAAGTGTGGCTAACATTAATGTCTCCAATAATCAGACCAATAATAATAATGACATAAATAACACATTGATTTGTGAACCATTCAACCCAACGTATAATCATTTAGTAAATAATAATAATAACAAATCGTATTCATATCACTCATTTCGTCGCTATTCAAACAATACATATATGAATAACCATTACTTAAACTATCGGCGCTTCCTTTACCTGAATCATCATAAGAGACCACTTCATTATCCATCTATCAATGAGGAGATGCCGATGACGACCACTGCTCATAACGCTAAAGCATTGTATAAGAAACATAAGAAAGGCTGCAAACATTATAAAACGAAAAGTGTTGTCACCATTAAACAGATCAACGATACGGTAGTAACAAATTGATAATAAGTCGAAATACAAAAATAATATACAAATTTTGTAAAAAAAATCATATTTTTCAATAATTATTATTATTTTAATGTTTTTTACAATATAAAAATAGATTATTAAAAAAAAGGTAGACTAAAATGTAAAATTTAAAATACTGTTAAAAAAGTATATTACTGTATATATATTGATATGATATAACCGATGTTGAGATCAAATTAAGTTTTTAAAAATATAATTTAAGTTAAAGTTATTGAGTAGAGTCGAGACAGCTTTGGGTGATCTTCCAGTCGAGTCGTCCCTTAAGTGCACAATCTTTGAGCCGATATTTATAAAATTGAGCCAAAATTCTCTGATATTTTTCTTTTTCTAATTGTTTCTTCTTTTCTTTCATTGCTTTCACTTCCGGTAAGTTTTGATATATCCTTTCGGTCTGTGCTCTCATCTCTTCGTGAGTGAAGAACCTCTTAATCGACGATTTGAAAACCGGTTGAATGACATTCATTTTTATCACTTTTTTGGCGCTCTCTTGTTGTCGGATCCACTGTTTAGCCATTTGTATGAGTCTTTCATCTGCCGTACGTTTTCTTAAATCTGAGATTGTATTGATTCGGTTGACTCTTAACTGCGAATTGATCCGCATATCAACACAGCGTCGGTTGAAAGCCTCCTGAAGTGTTTCGTTAGAATTACTTTCTAATAGTTCATCGCTTCTTGTCTTAGAAATGTTTCGCGGTTTGTGATATAAACTCTTTGATTTAGTACTTTGCGGTCGTAGACGATATGTCTTGTCTTTAGGTTTGTCGTCAAATGATATAAACCAAGAAACGGGTTGTTTGTCAGTTGAATTGATTTCATAGTCAAACTGTTTGTGTTGTTGTTGTTGTTGTGATTTAAAACTGGTTGTACTGTCATCGATGGTCATTGCGTCCACACTTTTGCTAAGTCTAGTTATTTCTTTGCTCAAGTCATATGACATATGCAACGCATCCAATGTATGCCAATCTCTGGTCAACAGATAAGAAGATGATGTTTGGCTAAGAAGACTGATATGCGGTCCAACACTTTCATTGATTTTGGTCTGTTTGATGGCCAGTTTCATCAAATACGAGCGCATCGTTTGTGTACTGACATTAGCTTTGGTGGACAACACACTAGTATGTGATAGCATTTGATCTTCATTTGCCGCCATTTCTCACATACGGCTCAACCAAACACAACAAACCATTTGTTTTATCAATTGATTCAAAACAATAACACAACCAACGGATGACAAACACAAAGAGCGCGCAAATTAAACACTCATTTCATACCAAACAACAAAAACATTGAAATATTAGCCATATATTAGACTTGAAATTATTAAATATTTTAATTAATTAATATATTAAAAATAATAAATACTTTTTTAAAACATTTATTTGCATATATACTGTACGGATAATATTGTGTGGGTGTGTTAAATACAATGACAATTGATTACCATGCTCATTTATTATATTGATATTTTTTGGAAAATACTTTAAAAATTCAATTGTTTAAACCAAACATACAGTTATTTTTTTCAATGATTGCATAATATTTTTTAGACAGAGGAAAGTAATTGTATTAAATTAAAAACATTTGCTTATCATTTGAAATAAGAGTATAAATTTTATTACCGGTAATATAATTATATCTGTGATTATAAACTTAAACACAGTATTTGTATTTTTACAGAAATTTACTATTTATTTGTTTTATTATAATGATTGCAACAATTTTTTTTAATAGTCAATGTTATGCTGACTATACATAAAAATGATTTCAAGAAGAGAGAGAGAGAGAGAGAGAGAGAGAGAGAGAGAGAGAGAGAGAGAGAGAGAGAGAGAGAGAGAGAGAGAGAGAGAGAGAGAGAGAGAGACATGTGTTTTTGAAAATTGTTTGAAAACAAGTGACAAAAGCTTTTAATAAGTTTTTATTTTGCGTTCAAAAGTCAAGTCAGGCATTAATCACTTGATTTAAAAAGAAAAAAACATTATATTATAAGTGAGTTGTTGTGTAAAAAACGACCCAATTTTTTTGCGTTCAACATTGTATGCCATCCGAGATATGGGTCGTCCACTACTACACATTGAACTCCTTCTTTAACCATCTCTCTCTCTCTCTCTCTCTCTCTCTCTCTCTCTCTCTCTCTCTATCTATCTATCTATCTATCTATCTATCTATCTATCTATCTATCTATCACTCCATAACTTTTAGGCTAAAAGTTTAGGGGACACCTAATCCTTCAATGAAGTGTGAGTGTGTAGAGACTCTACTAGAGAGACTGTAATGTGTATTTGGGAAAGACATTTGCGAGAGGAAAGGGAGAGTGTTTGTTATGCTATATATACTGTATATTTTGTTTATATGGTATTTGGATGTTTGTGTGTGTAATGCAATTGATGTGTAAATTAAAAGTTGAGACAATAGTAGAGACAAGAGTTGTGATAAATGGAGCAAAAGTTTTATCAAATGTCTAAATCAATAGCTAATTGACTGCTAATAAAGTTAGTCTACAGTATTATAGTATAGAGAGGTACGGTAGTCAGTGCACTGGTAGGACGGTAGCCACCAGTAATACATTTGGCAGACATTAGCGATTTAAAACATAAGCTGTTTTGACGCCAATAGCGGTTCTCATCCACTGTCGCCACTGTTGTTGTACAGCTATAGGGCTGTCCCCCTATACCTAAGCTATTGGTAGTGCCTTCAAGGCTTGCCATCCAATGTTACGTAAATATAGCGGTTTGGGTCAAACCCGTGAATCACAGGGAACCGCAACTTAAAATAAATAAATTTTTAGTTTAGTATTAAATGTTTAATTATATTCTATAAAAACAATACAATTAAACTAAAATATAAAATATTTCGACTAAATTCATAGGTTATACACACAAACTAGACATTTGATAATACATTTACTGTTAGAACCGATAGTACAAGTCTAGTGTGGATTATAAGAAAGCACTGTTGGCTGTAATTGTATGTATATTAGACAAGTCATACAAAACACAAACACAGTGTGTATAAGTCGACTATAAAACTGTATCGACTGGGCTGGTGGTGCAGCCAGTGTTTAAGGCAATACACACACACACTGTAAGGGCTGTCCAATATAAGCAGCGTCTGCCAGTGCATCGGTCTGACTGTACATTGAATGTCTATGAATAAGCGCTGTTATGATACATAAATGAGTATACAATACATTATATGCTATTTGTATGGTTATTGTGTGTAATGCTATTGAGTGTGTGTTGTGTAGTGTTGTGTATATATGTTGTATGGTTTGAGCCATTCATTCATATATAGAAAAATGGCCGCAAATGAAGATGAACTTCATTACATTGAAGTTTTCCAGAACTGCTTCAATAAGATCGCCCACAAACAGACAGGTATGTCCACTAAGATATCATTGATAGCAATGGGTTTAGTGTCGGACAGGGAGTCCCCATACAGATACGGGACGGGCCGATGACACGGCCAGGCAGTAGTCAAACGTGTGTTGTTTTTATTGTTGTCCACAATATTCCTCTATTCCTATGCATTATATCAATGTTTTAATGCCTTTTAAAAAACCTTAACTCCAGTAGTGTTTCATTACTTTCACTATTGTTTTACTGTTAGACCCATTGATAACACAAATTGTTGTTATTATTATTATAATCTCTATGTTTATTGTCAATAGACTTATCTGTTAATTAGTAATAATAATAATAAGTGTGTGATTGTTATCATTATTTATATTATCAGACATTTGTTTTAGTCGATCGCAAACTAAATCATCAATTTTTTTGCTGGTCTTTCGCATTCATTCATTAATATATTATATTTATTATATCATAAAAGCATTAGTTTTTTTTGTTAAACAACAAAATGCTTGTTATTATTATTATTAGGTATACATAGGATATATAAGATATACAGTTATATAACTACTACTACTGTATAACAATACAGTTATACTTGTTTTTTGTTTGTAATGTTTGCATGTTTTTATCAAATTATTATTTTATATATATATATATATATATATATATTTAAGATTATGTTAAAATTTATTTGTTATTTTTGTCAATAATGACAATGCTGAATTTAGTAAAATAGTTTTATTTATATATTATTTTGTTTGTTTGTTAATTTGTTTGGCATCTATTATTGACAGCTTTGTCATAATAAGTGTCACTTTTTTTTGTTACTGATAGGTCATAGCTGTCATATTTTTAGATATATTTTTTTATTATATAATAGTTATATACAATATATATTGAATATGATTTATATATATACGATAAATATAAAATATTAATATTATTGTACATTCATGTGATTTTCATAAAATATTTAATATTAAAAAAATGTTATCATAAAAAAATTATCTATAAAAATGAAATTCAAATTCAATTTTTGCTAATAATGATAATAATAAATAATATAATTAGTTATCAATAGATTGGCGACATAGTCACTGTCTATTTGATTAGTAGTTGTTATAATATAATATTTTCATTGAATACTATATTATAACGATATTATTATTATTATTAGTCTATTTTTAAGCCAACTTTTATGCCATTAATTTTGCAGTTAATTACTAATTAAACAAAAAAAGTAAATTAATAGCTGCTTTATAACTGCATTATATACTGTATATTTCAACTTAGATTATTATATGTAATATTTTATGTGTGTTTATTAAAAGTATATTTAGTTTAGTTTTTTGTTATTTGCCTAATAAATTTCAAACAAAAAAAGTAATATAATAATTATAGTTAATAAAAAAATTATTATATGAAAAATAAGAATATATTTAATTATATTTATTACATATCTAACGAAATAAAAAAATGTTTTTTTAATTAAATTTAAAGCAAAATAATATCACAAAAATCAAATTGTAATTTGAATAAAGGCTTTCGTAATTAAATAATAGTCTTAAAGATAGAAAATTAATACTATTTTTTTTAATTTATTTGTATGAATTTTTTTTTAATTATTTTTACATCTATTTTGTGTTAAAAAATATATTTACAAAAATCTAGGAAAAGTTTTTTATTACTTAATTAATTATTATAGTTTAAAGTAAATTAAAGTAAAAAGTAATTATAATTTTTTTTGTTGAATCAAAAAGAGTTTAAAGTTACCTAAAGTTATAAATGATAAAACTGAAGCTATAAATTTTTTTGAAATTGATTTTTGACATGAATTTTATAATTGATTTTGCAATTAATGATACAAATTGTTTATCCCAATAGATATATAGTGTAATGTCATTGAAAATTTAGAGGTGAGAGAAAAAGGAGGGGACAACCAGTTTATTGTCAACAAAATATTTGTGTCCAATAGTTGAGTTGATGGGTCCTCTTGTATGACTGTCCTCTCATTTAGCAAAGAGTGAGAGAGATTCTTAGCGTTGTTTTATTTGTTTGACTTCTTAGAATCGGTTCTCACAGCTCTCTCTCTCTCTCTCAATGGTTAGGTTAGAAGTCCTAACTTAGGACACATACATATAGTGTATTAGAAGCTATCAGTGCTTATTGCGAGAGAGTGAGGGCACTGGGATTGCAATTTGGGATTGGGATAGGGATTGGATATGCCATTAGATGTGCCATAAGAAGTAGTGAATTGTTGTTTTTGTTTATCTAAGCCTTAAGGCATATAAATCAATGCCTACTTTTCGCTTAAACACAAAACGCTTTCGTATATATGATGGGCACATATATTGAATATATATCTATGGGTTTCATACATATATGTCTTATATATGTATTTATTTTACAGTAAAACTGATTTTCTTTTCAAAACCTTCTCTAGAATAATGTTCTTCTGTTTGACAAATGATTAGCCATTTTTGTGGCCAAATATTAGCGCAAATTTCGTGATAATTTTGTGTTATAAATAATATTTATTAACACATTAATTGAATTGTTGTGTTTGATAATCAAAAATAAAAAAAAAAGTTTATTTTTTGTGATAATGTATTCACCACTAATGGATGAAAAATTCTTCGCCAATATAGACAAAACTCGTGGCGATTCCATGCCTTATGTGATGCCTTACGGGTCTTCTGGTGACTCCCACACTCACGATGACGTACTCTTGCAAATGGGTCAATCCGTGCAACCGCCTCCACATCCCGGCCAGTCGGGTGTACCCGTTGGAGTACAGTCACATTATCACCAGTTAGGCGGCGACCATCATATGCACCATCACATGGCACCGCCGCCATCAACCGGCCCTAATGGCACTCAAAATCAATCCAATGCTTCGGACACACAATATTTTCCACCGTTTTGTGATACACAAAGAGGTACTGTAACTTACCATTGATTATCTTATTTTGTTGTTGTTGTTAAATAACTAATTAGACTGAGGACAGACAGAATTAGTGTTAACCTATTAATTGATAAAATTATTATAATTATCTAACAGTTTGTCATATGTTTGTGTAAATTACTGTTTTTGAGATATTTTTACAGATATATTTATATACGTAATTACGATATTATTTAGTTTATTTTATAAATAATCATATGTTATTTATTTTTTAATTTATTTATGTTTTTTTGTGTTAAATCACGAATATATTTATCGATTGAGGAGAAAAAAGTTGTAATTATTATTATTTTTTATTTTTGTCTGCTAAATGAAAAACTTATTTAATAAAAATATAAAATAATAAGATATTAACAATATTTTGAATAATTTCACAATTTTGATGAACACCTGCCGTCAAAAAATCTAAGGCATCGCTAGTCAACGGTGCCAATCGTCAATAACCATAAGCTTATAGACACCCGTTATTTGAAATGAACTACCGATATGTCTGGCGGCGGCAATACTGTTGTCGCCGCCAATAATATTTAACCCAAATCCCAAATATTTGCTACTTTTTTAATTAGATTTGCGTTTATAACTTTAAATTTACAGATAATTTCCTATAACTTTCAGTAATATAGTGTTTAATTTTAAAAACGTTAATTAAGTGCTAATTAATAGCTATTAATAAATAACTGTTATATATATGTATGCCGTTTGTTCAACCCGTAGGCACACTGTATGGTTCGGACGCCTCGAGCTATTACTTAGATTCGGGTGACTGGAATGGACAGTCAAATTATCATGCGTTCGGACCGCCGCAGCCACAAACGCCACAACCAGTTCAGGCATCGCCCGTCTCAGTGTCGTCCGTGACCAGTGGAGGGGTGGGTGCAGTTCCCACTCAGGCATATCTTCACGACAACATATTTGAAAACAGTCCAATTTTATCAAGTCTTCCTCCAATGTCCTCATTTCGCGCTCAAACTGGTCCACAGGTAGCGCACCCGACAGTCTCACCCTCATCAGTGTTTGTGTCACCGATAGCAACGGGAACCACCACTTCAAGTGGATCACCGAGTCTTACCACTCAATCCGAATCGGGTGAGGCTATCGGCAAAGCATTGGCTAGCATTTACTCAAGCGGTTCGGGCGTCGCCAATACTGACCACACGCCCAGCAGCTATTCCGGTTCGGCCTCATCGACACCCGTATCCTCGCCGCAGACATGGCCTACAAGATTGTCTACGACAACCACTACTTCATTTGCCAATACAACTGATGCAACTGACGCTCATTTGCACACTTTGGTAATTATCGATGACTTTTCAGATTAAGATTTTTATTTTTTGCACTTTTTATGGCATGTGTTTAACATTTGATATTTTGCTTTCTTTTTATTTTGTTTTTATGCATGAATTTGCCATTCATTAAAAAAATTGATATCAATTGAATGATTGCAATGATTACCATAAATGTTGTGAATGTATGAAATGCATGGTTGATGTGTGTGTGACCATCACATCCAATACCGATCACCAATCAAATCCAAATCACAAACACACATACAATCAGCAATCGGCCCAAATTGATGACCAGTTTGAAGATGCCATTCATTTGCTGAGCAATCACACAGAGGTATGAGTTGAACTGTTGCAGATCTATCCGTTTTTATTTTTATTTAAGATTATTATACCCGCTATTTGTCATTTGTAGTGTGCTATCAATGAATTAATAGAAAACAAATAATATATGTTATGATAATTTAGTTATAATTTTATTAAAATGAGTTATATCTGTTAATTAGCACTCGAGAGGTGTAATGGGTGAACGTCTTGACGATGCCATTGATATATTACGCAATCACGCGGAAGGACCGCCTAATTATCTCACTTCAAATTTAACTCATCTTGAGAGCCATGTGGTAAGCATTTTGATTTTGACATCTTCTTTGGCCAAATGTGTGGTAATTTTAAATGTAATGAATCTGATGTCTGTATAGCCAAGTACTTCAAGTCTGGAGGCAGACAGAACCGGAGTAAATGCCTCTAACATTAATGCCAGTCAATTGAGATGCGATTCTGCACCGCCTCCGGGTACCACAATCGGCAAGAAGTCTAAGACATCTAATGCCAACGGCAGTAACAGCACAAACAGTCACGGAAAGGGTAGCAAAAGATCCCGATCTCGATAGTAAGCCATAGATTACTGAGACATTGGTTTTTAGTGTCCACTGTTCTAATTGCAATGTATTGTTGTCCGACTAATAGCAGTTCTGCCGACGAGGACGACGCCCCGCCGGAGATCAAAGTTGAACGCGAAAAAGAGCGAAGACAGGCCAACAATGCTAGGGAACGGTCAGTATTTTATTTTCTTATTACTCTTGTTGTACACAAGTGCTTGTAATCGGCAAAAAAACATAAAAATGATGACACACTTTCCCCGACTGACCAAATCGCTAGATAATAACAAAGTTGTAGTGGAGACCAATTCACAAAATCTGATTTTTAATTATGTTTTTTATTTTGACAAAATAATTAGTATTTTCATTATTCAATTTGAATTAATATATTTTTTTCAATTCAAAGAATTCGTGTGCGAGATATCAATGAAGCGTTCAAAGAGTTGGGACGAATGGTTGTCATACACCTTAAGTGCGACAAAGCGCAGACCAAACTCAATATCCTTCATCAAGCCGTCGATGTTATCACTAGTTTAGAGCAACAAGTTAGAGGTCAGTAGTCCGTACAGACTATACGATCACACATACATGTGCTTAAAAAATAACTTTATTTTTTTCATTCATATCCACAAAAAAATACAGAACGAAATTTGAATCCAAAGACTGCATGTCTTAAGAGGCGAGAAGAAGAAAAATCCGAAGAGGCCAGCGGTGTGAGCGTCGGTGGTGTCGGAGCGCCAAAGTTTGTCCATCACATGACACCACCCAACTGCACGCCTAATCAAACTAATCTAAACTAATAATAATAATAATATATATATATATATAAATATCTAAATATTTATTTTCCTCTTTCACTCATTAAAAACTCATTATTTTACTTTTATTTTCTAATTTAAGTAATTATTTAAAAAAAAGTATTTTGAATTTTTATTTTAGTTTATATATATATATACTTCACAACACACACACAACTTATTAATTGTCAATTTATTTACCAAAAAAAACTTTGTTATTTAAAAAACCAAACAAAATCTATTATAAATTAAGACTTCATTCCATTAATTTATGTAATTAATTAATTAATTTAATTATGAATTTTTTAGAGTATTTTCCCATTTTTAAACGCTTGACCCCAAAGGATAAGCTATTTTTTAATTATTAATTTTATTAATTAATCTCAAAAAGCTCTTTATTTTTACCTAGTTTATTATTATTATTAATATTATTTTATTTACTACATTACTAAGATCTAATGACAATTGTGTAATAATATACAGACATTAATTAATAATTATTTCAATCGCATTATTATTATGTTAATTAATTAATTATTTTTAAACTAATTTATCATAAATTATCATGACATTTTTTTTGCTGGGAAATTGTTTTTATTATTTTCCATAAAAAAACTGAAAAGTAATCATTTGTCCGAAAAAAACAAATGTAAACCTAACGAATCATATCTCGCATTTTAAATATAACTGTAATATTAATTATTATTATTATTATATTATTAAAAATAAACATTTATTATTTAATACTTGATAATGTGGTCCTAATTATGATATCAATAATAGTTAGCTTATATTGTTGTTGTTTGGCCTAATTGTTTGGTCAACTGTTTGTTTTCTAATCTAATTTGTTCCAAATCGGCCAAAATTCGGCTTAAATTAGACGCCGTTTTTCCCGATCTCTCAGTTTCGACCTATAAATTTACAGCAATGAATGTACACAACCATTATTAAACAACCGATCATTTTATTATTAATGATATGATTATCAATTATGTTAATTACCGATTCTTCTAATTGTCTGATCTCCCGAAGTATGACACCGATGGCCGAAACCGATTCGAGAAGTTGGTCACAGTGTTCGTGCATTGAGGCCAACAGTTTATAACACTTTCGGTTCCATTCATTATGTTTTGCATCCTTTTATTGAAAAAAATAAATTATTAATTTTTATGTCTTATAATTGTTTTCATTACTTTAAATATCTCTTCATCTGCAACGGTAAAAGTTCGCGACAACTTTCCCGACAAGTTATTGATGTCTTTTTGCAGAAATCTTGTCTCTAATAACACTTTCTTTGTCTCTTCATTTTGTTTCTTAACATTTGTCACAATCTCAAGAATACGTTTGGTGTATGAACTTCGCGACGGTGGCCACTCTTGAGGCACTTTTTCAGTTAATTCTTTGACTAACGACTCTTTTGCTTTAATCTCTTTTATCTTCGAGTTTATCGATTTCTTCAAATCATTTAACTTACTCTGTAGTGCCGTATGTCTGGCATTCTTGGCGTTTGACTCTAATGTTAATTGTTTTAATTGATTAGACAAAACATCTTCGACTTCAACCCATTTATGTGATAACATTTCTATCTCTTGTTTCGTGTCATTGATTTGTGTTATTAATTCTTGACTCGACTTATCCGTGGCCTCTAATTCACGTAACTTTTTGATCTCGTCTTTCAACTGATTCTCATATTCATTGGCCTTATTCTCAAACTTTTTGTGTTTTTGTATATCTTTTTCCAAAGATTTCAATTCGGATTCCAGATCTTCAATAATCTGTTTATATTTTTCTTCTTTAGACAAATCGTTAGATTTTTGAATCTCATTCTTATCGGTTACAGATATAACATCACCGGTGACTATAGAAATGGATGTGTTGTTAGAAATATTTTGAATATGATATGGCATTTGATTGGCACTTAATAACGATTCAATCGATACTTTTTTAGATTTTACAAACAATTGATTATCTGTAGCCTCACTGTCCAGATATAGACAGTTCCACTCCATTATTGACGGTATAGTATTTGGAAGTTTAAGACACTTATCGTAATATTTTCGTCGATTTGGTGCCAATTTGTTCATTAAGATTGGCTTAAAGTTAACCGATTTTGAGATTGTTGTGTTAACACACCAGGCATTGGCATCCGGTTTGGAATCACTGTCTTTCATCGGTGGTAACCAAACGGTGTTGTTATACATTTTCTTGAGACGACTTCTGATACCATCACTGGTTCTAACCGATGATATACGACTTTCATCCTCTTCTTTGGGCAGTCTTTCCAATAAAAACAAAAACAATTTTCTGATATCAGATTCATTGCCGTAAAGAAATGTTTGGTAACCGATGTCTGTTTTATAGCCTAACTTCTAATTTAAAAAAGGATTAAATGTATCAAAAACTATCATTGAATCAATGGATCAATTGTCGACATTACTTGTTTGCAAATGTTGGCCAATTGTGTGGCAATCTTGTATTTGATGGACATATTCATCGAGTGATTGATTTGTTTTGAGTTTAATTCGTTTGTACTGTAATTTTGGTCAATAATTTGAATGCAATGACAGACACACGACATAATCTGATAGACTTCCAGGTCTTTGATACCATTTATTTCGCTATCGATATCACTGTCAGACAGACAGACATAAAGTAAAAGATAACAATAAATATATCAGAAAAACATTGAAAACAAGTAATCAATTATCAGCTGACATACCATCCGATCTCTCGTAACTGTTGTATCAAAATGTTATCCACTTCTTCCATGTCTTTGAATAACTCTTTAGGTTATTGTTGTTTGGATCAGTTGTTTGATATGTTCACAGAAATCAATGGTTCAGTCGATAGGCGTTTAATTCAATCGATACTCAAGTTATTCAATGTTTATGTCATTCAATGCATAAAACACTACATATATTAGAGTACATAATAAACAGTGAAATCACATGAAACACACGATTCACTGCTTAACACATATTACACACTATTCCCTATACTATACTCTATTGATCAATGGCTTCACTGCAGTGTTTAATCATATTATTTATAACTTTTATATTTATTTATTTATTCAAACATTTATATTATTAATAAATCAATTTGTTGTTTGTTTATCTATTGTGACAAACAATTATAGGTTACAGCGTATGACAATATCAAACAAATTGATATTCACAAAAAAATAAGTAGTCGGGAATCCCGGAGTTTTTTTCACGTTTATAATGCGGGTAATTAAAAAAATACAAAGTAAACACAAAAAAAGTTTTTCAACTTTATCTCATATATACTGACTGTACTTTATCATCAATACAAAGTCATACTAAATATATAATGTATAATGTACTTGATCAATTATTTTTGTTAAATTTTATGTACTGGAAATCAAAATCTACAATATAGTAATCATATTAGTTTTTTTTAATAAAAAAAGTATATTTTAAAAATTACAACAAAAAAAACAGTAGAATTCATTGATTAAAAAACTTTATATAGTAGTAACTATTGTATTAATAGAAACCCGGATTTTGTAGCAATGGATAGTTTAAGTTTGATAAGCATTTTACAGTATGAATATATCCAGGGTCATTCATTATTTTTTTTTTAGTTTTTTTAAATATATATTTTTTTAAAAATAAATATTAAATATTGTGATATTCATGATTGACAGACAAATACAATTTTATAAATAAAATAAAAATATTATAGAAAAAACTAGTTTTTTTATTAAAAAATAATAACTTATTACTAAATATTTGAAAAATTGTGCATGATACATTTAAAATAATAATATTATAATGTATACGTTTTATATGTTGTTATAGTTGTGCGCATTAACTGTAAATTAATTATTATATTACAGTAGTAAATCGTTTTATAAACTTATTATGTAATTATTATGTAATATATATATATTAATACAGAATAAAAAGTAATTTATTTAACAAAAATATTATTAGTATTTTCCTCATTTGTGTCTAAAAATTGTTAAATTTTTTTTAAAACACAAACGGTTTTTTATGTTAATAATTTTAAATTGTATTTTAATATCAGATGGAAAAATATTTCTAAATGTTTTTCTCTATCTATTGTAAAATTATATAAAAAAAAAGTTATTATGAAAACCGTGAGTCGACTGTATGAGTAGTTTCTATACAAATAAAAACATTGGTTTAAAGTCTATTACAATGTATTACAGTATTATCATTGGATTGACTGTTATATCACATTATAATTGATAACAAAATTTGTTTGATTTTTAATAAATGAATGAATGACTGACTATTTGAACGATTGGTTCAAATCATTGAATCAATTATTAGTTTTTGTGTTTACATTACAACCAAAGCTCTTCAAAAAAAAGTGTTCAAAGACTGACTGACTGTTTGTGTCATCACATCATTGGTTGGACTCATTTGTGAACAGCTCTTCACATAGTTGTAGCTCAAAGAAGATCACTTAAGGCAACAGAAAAAAGAAGAATTAGAAGGAAAAGACAGATAACTAAATCCGTTGACTGAAAACTCACAAGTTTTAGAAAACATCAGTCAAAATGTTGGATCAGTTGCACAAATCCAAGACATTGCGCGTCCTGTTTATGCTTTCATTCTTCATCAGCGGTCTTATCATTAATTTTGTTCAGTTTTCTCTCTACATAACTGTCAGATATTTTGATCGCAAACTCTACCGTCGGCTTAACTATTATCTCGTGTACACTATGTCTTCGCGTACGTGTGTTTGTGTAGATCACACGTGCAGTTTTGCACGTGTTGTGTGTTTCTGTTTGTCTTGTATTTCTAATGTCTAATTATTATTTTAAAATTTTTTTATTGTACAGAAATTGTGGCCATAAGCGAGTGGTGGTCCGGTTCGAGGCTTCGCATGTTTTTTGCCGACGAAGACAGTCTACGATCACACGGAAAACATCACGTGCTGTATGTGATGAACCATCGCTACGAACTCGACTGGTTGTACGCGTGGATGGTTTTGGACAAGTTTGAGATACTCGGAGTAATGACCAAAATATATTTAAAAATGCTTGTAGTTTAGTCTTTAATTGATTTTTTTAATTGTTTTAATTACTGGTAAAATAATTTTATTGCCAACAGAACGCTAAATCTTTTGCAAAGAAGTCTCTTCGATGGCTTCCCATTATTGGCTGGAATTGGGTTTTGGATGAGTTTATATTTCTTGACAGAGACTGGAAAAAAGATCAACAAAATTTGCCCAAAGCATTGGATCAGCTGATGGCATACGAGTCGCCAATATCACTATTATTGTTCTCCGAGGGCACCCGTTTCACTGAATCCAAATACGAGGCCAGTCTTGAGTTTGCTAAACAGCGAGGTTTACCGCAACTCAAGTATCATCTGTTACCGCGAACTAAAGGCTTTGCCTTTTGTATTCGTCACATCAAAAAACACTGTATGATGTGATAAAACAGATGTTTTTTCTATTATTTTAAACATTTTCTACAATCCCGATACAGATCCCGATACTGTTATATATGACATTCAATTGCGATTTAGCGATAATGCCAAACATTTGCCTACATTTACATCAATAGTCAAAGGAAAGCAATTGGTTGGAGATTTTTACTTAAGGAAAGTACCGATAAGTCAAGTGCCCACTGACTCGGAAGATGATATCTCAAACTTTTTGTATGATTTCTATCAAAAGAAGGTAATTATTTGTATTTAAATTATAATTGTTGTTAAATTTCTATAATTTTATCTCTTTTTTAATATATATATAAAGGATAATCTAATGGATTATCACAAAGAAAATGATAAATTTCCCGGAATTCTAGTCGATAAACCCCGAAGAATAGTTCCACTCATCAATTGGATGTCTTGGTTTGCCGTCGTTATGATCTCTTTGACATATATTTTGTTTAACGTATTTACGTCTGGAAATCTATATCTAATTATTACAACAACTGTTATTTTTGCAATCGGTTAGTATAAAACCAAACAAAACATTTTATAACAATTAACACATTGAAAAAAATTTCCACTAAAATGTTTTGCTATAGCATTGGGATCTGTTTATGTGATGATTGGATCGACAAAGATTCAAAAGGGGTCGAAATATGGCAATAAAGTTAAGTCCGGTGACGACAACCATAAAGATGTCGATTCAAAGAATTCAACTCAAAATAATAATTTTGTCGATAACTCGAGTTTAAGACAAAGATTGAATACCTCTGGCGATGACTCAAAAAATTGATTCAAAAAATATTAATTTATATTATTGTTTAACTTTAATAATATATTATTTTTGTTGTTTACTTAATATTGACATTTTTCTTTATACAATAAATAAATTTATATAGATAATAATATATATATATATACATACATAAATTAACTATATTTTAGATTAAAATAATATATATACAGTATATATATATATATATAATCGAGAACTGATTTTAAGTTGAATTACATAAAACAATAACTTGAATGTTATAAATGTTTATTTATATTCATATGTTTTATATCTTCTATAATTTAATATAATAGTTTTGTCTGTTTGTTTGTCTGTTTGTTTGTTTGTTTGTTTGTTTGTATGTGTGCACACTTCCTCAACAACCATTTTTTAATTCAAAGCTAAAAATATATTGTTATATTTTCAATTTTAATTTAAAGCAATGTTATTTCTATGGGAAATTTTAAATGATTATTGAGCTCAGGTAGGTTTTAGAGACAGGTAGGCAGGTGCTGTGTAATAACATATTGCTATATTGTATGAGTCTCGGCACCGGGAGGTTAGTTACCTGTGATAAGTTTTTTTTTAAATTTTCTCAAATGCAAAAATTTTCAATTTTTATTGAAAGCAATGTAATTTCTATGAGAAATTTAAAATTTTTGTTGAGCTCAGGTAGATTTTAGGGACAGGTAGGCTGGTGTCGTGTAATTACACTTTACTATATTATATGAGTTACAGGGCACCGGGAGGTAAGCTACCTGTGCTAAATTTTTATAAAATTTTCTCAAATACAAAAAATTTTCAATTTGTGTTAAAATTTTCAATTTTTATTTAAAGCAATGCTATTTCTATGGAAAATTTTAAATGATTATTGAGCTCAGGTAGGTTTTATGGACAGGTAGACAGGTGTTGTGTTATTACATTTTGCTATATTGTATGAATCACAGGGCACCGGGAGGTTAGTTAAAAGCGAAAAATTTTGTAAATTTTTTTCAAATGCAAATTTTTTTCACAAAAATTATTAAACTTAAATTTTTATAAAATTATTTAAATATACATAAAAATCTAAAATTCTCAAGAGTTTAGACGTATTATTGTGTATTGATTATAAAGTTTTGTTACATTAGGTTAAGTAGTTTGTTATATAAAACAAATTAGGCAATCATTCGAATTACTTATAAGTATTTTAAAATTAGCAAAAGAATTGCACGACTATACATGTTGCGCGGGCAAAACTAGTATAAATTATAATTTAATAAAAATATTTTATTAAAAAGTTTAGTTATTCATTACACATCACCTAAACGGCAGGTCATAGATATCACTGATCGGTTATAACGTGTTTTAACCAGAATTAATCATAAAATTAAATCAATTTTCTAACAAACTTTATTAATTAAACTAATTTATGAGAACTTAATCTTAAAATTATATTTTACAAATTAGCAAATAATTACAAATTATATACGAATTATTAAAATTTCTAAAAAACAATAACAATAACACTAAGGAATGATAGTAATAAATAATAATTAATTTATATTTTTTTAGTTTGTAAAGAAATAAACTATAAATTATATGATAATGAATTCAATATTAGATATCCATTACTTCTTTGTCTGTCTCTTTCTCTGTGGTTTTTGTGGCGCTATTTGTTGTGTTTGTTGTACTTGTTTTCTGAGGGCATTCGTGAAGTGTTGTTGTGCGGCCAATGTTGGCGTCGAGTGTGGAATCGACTGAATTGTGGTAAACGTTGTGTTTGACGACGACGGGGCGTATGTATGCGGCGCTAATGGTCGCAACAATGGAACAGTTGATGTATTACTCATCTGCAAAAGTGATACCTGAGTTGGTCCGGCCGTACGAATTTGGCCAGTGTTTTGTTTTAGTTGATTAATAATCTGTGCATTCAAATGTTGAACACCTAAACTGCCGGCCATTCCTATGGGAACCGACACTACATTACTACCGGGTGCTCCGGTAGACATAAGAACAGTGGTAGGAGCGGCAGCGTATGTGACCGTAACATTATCTTCTTTATGTTGTCCTGTATGATCAAGACTGACAATCATTGATCCGGCGCTTGTCATTATAGATGATTGTGTGCCAGACGCTGTTGGCATCATTGTTAGAGATATGGGAACCGCTAGTCCTCCCGGTGTTAAAGATACCAAATTATGCAAACGTAGATTTTGCTGTACTGGCGCTAAACTAAGACTCGCCAAACTTACACCAGTAGGTAATGGAGTTGATGTAGTTATGGACTGATGATTGCCATCAGTTGTACACTCGATTTGTTGAATACCTAATTAGACAACAAAAATAAATGAAAATCAATTTTTTAAATTTATTTACAGATAATTAACTCATATGGGGTTAATAATAATAATGAAATTAAACAAAATAATGAAATATATTTAAATGAAAAGAAAAACAACTTCAATATTAAGATAATTCAAGTACTTTTAGCGATTCCCGAAGTGGGAGTAAAAATGACTGTAAGCGCCGATTCGGGAATAGTAGCTGTGGTTGTAGTCGCGTGAATGCCAGTTGTAAGCAAAGGGGTGGCTATTTGCGTGTCAGTCGTTATTTTGTTTGGCGCAGAAAACACTTGTTTTATGTTTAATAGAAATAGGATTTTCGTAGATATAATAGGAAAAGGTTTCGATAGATAAAAGCAATGATCAATAGGTTAAGCAGTTTTAGTGGAAACATAAAAATTAGATTAAAGTATATCTTATTGTGTCTCACCTGTTGGTATGGTTTGTATTGTTGTTTCGACAGGTTTTGGCGCAACCGATGGTACAGTTTGTATTGTGGGAGATATGATATGGCTCTGCAGTATTGTAGTTGTGTTCTGAATGGGCGGACTTTGCTCTACTACTGTCACTAATTTGGGTTTTTTAGGAGGCGTAGCCCTGATGGCTATAGTATTTTCTTCTTCAACAGGCGCCTCCTTATTAGGAGGAATAGCATTTACAGCAATTCCTTGAGCTGCCGCTGCTGAAGTGTAGCTAACTTGCGGTACCTGACCAGCAATTTGGTGAACAATTTTGACTGATTTTCGGCCATTTTCAGTGAGTATTTCGGTAAACTGTTCCACATATCGTTTTGTTGATTGTTTTGTTCCCAAACAAAATCTATTTAAAAAATTACAAATTTTAATATTATAATTTTAATTACTATATTAATAATATAATAATAGTTAATAATGTTATTATAAAATTATATTAAATTCCCGTACGTGGATGTTGAGCCTCGGATATGTCCCTGTCTATCGATGAATAATTGACCAAAATATGTATCATCGATAGGTCGATGCAAAATAGTAACGTTTGTCAGAGACCGTCGATTGTCGTCAATAAAATCCATTGAATATTCTTCAACTTTAATCTAAAAATTTTAAAAAAGAAAGAAATTGTTAAACATTTATATAACGAATACAATGCAAAAATATTAATAATGATTAACCAATGAATTATCGGCCACTCTTAATGGTTTCGGCAATTCTTTGGCAAATTTGTGGACATCTATATCCTTAACGGGAATCGATTCAACAATTGGCTCATTAATATTGACGTGAATCTATAAGATAGTAAATAATGATAAATAACTAAAAATTATCAAAACATAAGACATCAATATTACAGGTTTGTTGACTTTTGAATGTGAATTGGTTTTAGTATTGCGTTTCTTCAGAAACTCATGCAATCGAAGACTCGGTGGTGCAGGCAATGAGTCAAACTTTTTCTGCCGATTGGAGGCCAGTTGTGAACACTTCTTAGACAATCTGATAGAAAATTTAATTTAAATTAAAATTAGTTTTAAAAAATTGATAAAACAAAATATTACTTCAATATAGAGCCGTCTCTAAACAATCGTTTCTTTCGCCACAATTTGTTTGAAAGTATGGCCACTGCAGGACTCGGATCAAGACATAAGCTTGAAGTGGTGGCCATTAAAAGTTGTGACTCCAGTTCAGCTTTGTCCTCATTAGTCCAATAATATTCATCGCTTGAATTATTTATTATCGACAATATATCGTTGGTAAGACTTTGTGTAGTTGGTCTCAGAAGTACCCAATGAGATGAGTAGTGGTGTGAATGAGACGGAGCCGATCGCCGGAAGTCTCGCACTTCAAATATAAGACAACCGCTTTGAAATAAATTACAATTGATTAGTGGAGACGATTCGATAAAATCAACCAAAAACGGCGGCAACTCTTCGTTGTCGATGTAATCCAAAAGCTGGTACTCATCGTATGGCAAACGCATTGTCTCAATGAGTCCGTCAGAATCGGCTAACTTTAGACCAATTGAATAGCCTTCAGACGCACTGTAAAGACAGACTACAAAGTGGTTTAACTTTTCTTTTAGTACCAATTTCTTCAATATGAATGAACCAATGGTAAGATTCTGCTAAAAGTAGACCAAATAAATGAATAATTACTTCTTATATCAATAAATGAAGACAAAACCCACTTTTTGTTTGTTAGCCTTATGTTTATCTTCGAGCATTAGATCCAGTAGTCGGTCATCAATCGACTTGTTTTGATTGCTGCCGTGTTTGCCATCTTTACTATCTTTAGACCGCAATTGTGTCCAATCGTTTTGAGACAACTCGAAGTAATGCTGAATCACCACAAAAAATCAATCAATCAATTAATTAATAAAATAATAATATTGTGGTCATTGAAGATATCATACTTCAGCCAAACTAAACATTTGATCCACATTTTTGGTGGCCATTATCATCAACGAGTTTTTTTTATTGGGACAGCAATTATCACAAACTAATTAATACAAAACTAATTTCATTACAACAATTGCAACAAATTATAGACATAATTATCAACAACAACAACAAAAAATAATTAAAAATCAATTGATTTACAAACAAACATGTGTTTCATTAACAGACAAAAAACACGAGTTTATTAATATTAATAATAATCATAATATTGTTGTGATTATAATGATTGCAATCATTTATAATTTCATTCAATGTTTTTTTTTTATAAAACCAATGTATTAGTCATTATTGGATTAAATCAATAGATTGTTTGTGTTTATTAAAAATCAATTATTGTTTTAATAATAAATTACTTTATTATATAATAATAATAATCACCACAATTGACATCACATTCACAATTGCATTGTTGTTGTTGTTGTGTGTTATTTGTTGACAATAATTATCACAACAATTATTATTATTATTATAAAGTTATAGCTTTTAATTCACATATCTCTGACTCTCTCTCTCTCTCTCTCTCTCTCTCTCTCTATCTCTAAATTTATGTATTATTTGTAGGGTTCGATAAATTCATTCCCTCGTGTTATTCGCCAAATGTTCCTAATTTTTTCTGTTCCCTGGGAATATATTTTTTGTGCTACCATCTATTGAACCCTAACAACACATTTTATAATGTTGTTTAAACAATAAATGTTATATTAAATTGTATTTTTAAAAAGTGCTGATAAATAGTATCAAAAAATTTATTGAATTGAAATATTTTTTAAATATCTATTTTTAAATATTTTAATGAAATTTTATTTTTTAAAAAAATATTTAAGTTTTAATATTTATTGTAAAAATTTAAATCTATTTTTTCTTTCTAACGACGAAGGGAGGGAAAAATAAAATATTTTCCAAAAAAATGGAGGGATTTTATTAGGGAACTTCTCTTCCTGGGAAATTTGCTCGAACTCTAATTATTTGTAATATTAAAGTACCCATAAATTACGATAATTACTGGTTTGGAAAATGTTAAAAAATAATAAAAATTAACTAAAATTTATAACTAATAAACTCCTAATAGGTTTAAGTAAAGGTTAGTTAGGATTAGACTAAGGTTTATACAGTAAAGTACGGTAACCTCTGACCCGTGTCTTAACCGTCTAGATATCGAAACGATTGCTTTTTTAAACATATTTTTTTAATAGACAACAATATCTAATCCATTGATTATACATATTTGCAACAATTATCTCAAAATATTTGTCTAAAATATTCAGATATAAGTCGGGGTGGGTTTGGCGATGGAGTGCGAAAGCATTTTACCCCCACCCCACCCCCTGAGATCAAAATTTCTAGATTAGACCCCCACCCAAACTTTTTTCTGTAATTGTAAATAAAGTGAACTAAAAATGTAGAGAAATTGAATCCCACTCTCAAACTGAAAATATTAATTCATTTTTAGTACACTATTATAACTTAATTTAATTAAATAATTGACTAAAAAAATGTTTTATTAAAATTACGTTCAGATAAATGTGTTGTCATTTTACGTGCGCTGTTATAACAGTTAAGTTTATAACAAATCACATTATTTTAGGTTAGGTTGGGTGTGGAGAGTTAGAAAGTGGTGTGTCGGGTGAAGGAACGGTATGTGAGGTCTAGTAAATTATATTATCTAAAACTTATTAAATTTTGATTTTAATAGTTTTTAAAACTAAAGCAATCACTGCATTAAATATACCGAATTTGTTCCAAATCTAAATATAAATAAAAAGCTAAAAATGAACTATTTATTCAAAAAAATAATTATAAATTTATTATTAATACAAGTGAAAGATAATTTTAATATAATTTAAATAATAATAAACACTCTATATATTGATATTTTTTAAATAATTTTTTAATTTTATCCCTTTAAATGATTTTTTTATTTTTATCACTTTAGTTAAAATTAAATAATTTTTATTTATATAAAGAAAAATTGTCGGAAATAATGAATTTATTGAAACAAATATAATGTAAATTATTGTAAAATACATAGCATCCAAAAAAATGTATATAAAATTACTGTGTATTAATAATTATATTGTTTTATTTGTATGAATATAGTTTAATATTTTTTAAAAATATATTAAAGTTCTTAAACTATTAAATTCAAAAAACATTAAAAAAAATTATTAGTTAATTAATTTTGTTTCGTAAACTGAAAACAGTATAAACATGTTTAAGTATAAAATTCAATCTGTAATTCTTTTATTTGTAATATGTATGTAAAAATTATATTAAGTAATAATAATAATGACAATTATAATATCAATAAGTTAGTAATAACAAGATTTAACAGATTTAAGTTTTATTAAATACTAAATTATATTTAAAGTGCTATTTATTTGTTATACAATACTTTCAAATATAATTTACATGGCATTGCCTTAACTGCGGTGAGACATGGGAAACTTGCGGTCAGTAATTATCTCGAGAACCGTTGGTCAGATCTTGCGGTCAGACATATAAAAGTTATAGAGAATAAAAAGTTAGGAACTAAGGTTGACCTTAAAAAATTTTAGGTTTACCAGGGGACACACAAAATAAATAAAACATGAAAATTTTGTACTAAAAAAGCTGCGGTCAGTGAATATCTGGAAAACCATTGGTCAGATCTTGCGGTCAAACATATAAAAGTTGTAGAGAATAAAAGGATAGAAACTAGGGTTGACATTAAAAAATTTTAGGTCCACCAGGGAACCCACAAAAAAAATAAAACATGAAAATTTTGTACTAAAAAAGCTGCGGTCAGTGAATATCTGGAAAACCATTGGTCAGATCTTGCGGTCAAACATATAAAAGTTGTGAAGAATAAAAAGTTTAAAACAATGGTTTAATAAAAAAAAATTAGGTTCACCAGGGGGCGCAAGAAAACATTAAAACATGTAAATTTTGTATTAAAAAAGCAGCGGTCAGTAATTATCTCGAGAACTAGTGGTCAGATCTTGCGGTCAAACATATAAAAATTGTAGACAATAAAAAAATAAAAATTATGGTCCACTTAAAAAAATTTAAAAACCTCCAGGAGGCCCACAAAAGAATTAAAAAAAATCTATGAAAAAAATGGTATTCAGTAAATATCTTGAAAACCAGTGGTCAGATCTTGCGGTCAAACATATAAAAGTTGTGAAGAATAAAAAGATAGAAACTAGGGTTGATCTTAAAAAATTTTAGGTCCACCAGGGAACCCACAAAAAAATAAAACTTGAAAACTTTGTACTAAAAAAGCTGCGGTCAGTGAATATCTGGAAAACCATTGGTCAGATCTTGCGGTCAAACATATAAAAGTTGTAGAGAATAAAAAGATAGAAACTAGGGTTGACATTAAAAAATTTTAGGTTCACCAGGGAACCCACAAAAAAATAAAACATGAAAATTTTGTACTAAAAAAGTGGCGGTCAGTAATTATCTCAAGAACTAGTAGTCAGATCTTGCGGTCAAACATATAAAAATTATAGAAAATAAAAAGATAGAAACTATAGTTCATTTATAAAAATTCTAGGAGAACCAGGGGACCTACAAAAAAATAAAACAAAAATTTTGTATTAAAAAAATATTGATCAGTGTTTATCTGAAAAACTAGTAGCCAGATCTTTCGGTCAAACCCTTAAAAGTTTTTAAAAATTTAAAAGTAAGCAATAATTTAAATTAAAAAACTTTAAATTTTTTTTGGAACCTCACAAAAAATTAAAACCTATATTTTTATTTAATAAAAAATGTTATATTTTTTATGGGTTTTCTGGTAGACCAAAAATTATTCTTATTAACCATTTTTTTAATTTATAAATGTTTACAACTTTTATATTTTTGATCGCAAGATCTGACCACTGGTTTTTAAAATACTCACTGACCGCAACTTTTTTAGTACAAAATTTTCATGTTTTATTTTTTTTTGTGAATCCCTTAGTTGGCCTAGAATTTTTATAAGTGAACTATAGTTTCTATCTTTTTATTCTCTACAACTTTTATATGTTTGACCGCAAGATCTGACCAATGGTTTTCCAGATATTCACTGAACGCAGCTTTTTTAGTACAAAATTTTCATGTTTTATTTTTTTTTTGTGGGTTCCCTGGTGGACCTAAAATTTTTTAAGGTCAACCTTAGTTCCTACCTTTTTATTCTCTATAACTTTTATATGTTTGACCGCAAGATCTGACCACTGGTTTTTTAGATAATGACAATCTCATTTTTATAAATAAAAAATGTTTAATTTTTTGTGGGCCTCCTGGAGGTCCTTAAATTTTTTCAAGTGGATTATGGTTTCTATTTTTTTACTCTCTACAACTTTTATATGTTTGACCGCAAGATCTGACCACTAGTTCTCGAGATAATTACTGACCGCCACTTTTTTAGTACAAAATTTTCATGTTTTATTTTTTTTGTGGGTTCCCTGGTGGACCTAAAATTTTTTAATGTCAACCCTAGTTTCTATCTTTTTATTCTCTACAACTTTTATATGTTTGACCGCAAGATCTGACCAATGGTTTTCCAGATATTCACTGACCGCAGCTTTTTTAGTACAAAGTTTTCATGTTTTATTTATTTTGTGTGTCCCCTGGTGAACCTAAAATTTTTTAAAATCAACCTTAGTTCCTAACTTTTTATTCTCTATAACTTTTATATGTCTGACCGCAAGATCTGACCAACGGTTCTCGAGATAATTACTGACCGCAAGTTTCCCATGTCTCACCGCAGTTAAGGCAATGCCAATTTACATTACAATATATAAAAGTAATATTTCTAATTATAATATCAATTTCAAATTATATTATTTATTTTTGTTGATAATTTCTATAGTTTGGTTGAAATGCTATAATATTTACATATACTTTTAAATATACAAATAGTTTACAACATAACATTATAATTAGTCATTTAAGCATTTTTATTAGTTTTAAATAATAATAAATTATATAATTTTACCTTATACTGTATTAATAAATATTTCAATATCACTTATTTAACAAAATGCATAGCTTTCTAAACAAAATAAACTTTAATACAAATAAATAAATTAATAACTATTGTGATGATGTGCTAATTACAGTATTTGCTATACAGTATTATCAATAATAATAATAATTAAGTATAATTTTAAGTGCATAAATATTATTTACTAAAAAAATACATTATTCAATTTGTATCAATGAAAACATTTAATTTGCTTGTATTATATACAATACTGTCAATTGATTACAATATAGTATAAGAAATTGAATATTGTTTTATAAATTATTATTAAAAACTCAGTGAAAGAATATTTCTAATAAATGAAACAATGTTTAGATAAAATAATGTTAATAATATTTACTAATTATAATATCAATTAATTAATGTTTAACACCATATAAGTTATAAATATATGTAATTAATTTGTTTTTTATTAATTAATAATAATATTGTTTTATTGAATTAAAAAAATAATATACAGATGATAACAGTAATTATTTGAAAAAATAATGAATGCAATTAAACTATTTATGTACTCATATTATTTCAATAATACTATATAATATACAGTAAATTAGTATATCATTAATATTAGTGCAAAAACGTTGTCGTATAAATGTAATAATTTTTTTTTTATTTAATGCTATAATTTTAATTTGTTTGAACAATAAACTTTTTTTTGCTATTATAATAACAAAAAATTGCAACTCATAAAAAACAAAAAATTGTTATTTATATTATATATATATAAAATTGATTATTAGTGATTTTAATTTGTTATGTTTAACAGGTATTATAATAATTGTTAAGTTTTAAGTAAATTAACAAATCTTGTAATATTAATTTTGTTTAAAATACAATGAAATCTATAATTAAATTTAACGAATTATTGAAATACATTCCCAATATTTTTCTTCTGTATAAAAGTTTGATTGACTTACAGGTAATAAAAATATTTTATTTAAATATTTCATAATTTCATTAAATTAGTTTTACATATTATTTTATAATTTTTGTACTAAATTGTATAATGTGTTTAATATGAATTTTATCTTCTTATAAAAATAATTAATTAATGCAATATTTATAATAATTACTAAAGAATTTAAAAATATTAAATGCAAAAATAAATTGTTTTAATATTAAAAAGTCAGATAAAATTGAAATACAATTATTTATATAAAATATTTAGTTAACAATTTGTCAAATACCTTTTCAATGCTTTATATCAATTTATTTGATAAAATATTAATAATTAATTTAACTATATTTAATAAACATACAAAAAACATTTATTATCATTAATAGTTATGAAATAAATATAAAATTTTTACCAACATGTAATATAACAATAAAAAAATATTTTAATAATATATTAACAGATTTTTTTTAATAGGAAAACAAATGTAATGCAAAAAATACTTTGAATGATAAGAAGTCAATTAAATACAATTATAATAAAACTTATGAAATTGGATGTAAACTATTAGAGCCCAATTGGTTTATACAAATAAATATATATTTTTGTTTTGCCGTTTTATTTGTATTTGGATATATAAATGATTTTATGCTATATATTGGTTTGAAACAAATAAAGATTAAGTCAGAGAAAAATACAAAAGTATGTCTTAATTTATTTTATATTTATTTTAAATAGTATTTTCTAAAATAATTAATTATTATTAATCAATATTTGTTATAATGACTACAATGACAAATCAATAATAATAATAATAATAATAATTAGGGTTATACACCATTATACGGCACGTGGCAAAGTTTTTTCGCGCGACACATCTATCGTCGGGCGTGCGATGCATTCAATCAGCCCATCTCATCTGTACCGGCCGGTAGTGTTCAGGTGCTCGATAGAGAGTCTAAAGATAATAAATATACATTTAAGTTAGTTAATCAATTAAATATAAAATAAATAAAATAATTAGTATAATCTAATTGTTTTTAAATAACAGTTTTACGGGAAAAAGATATAATGCAATTAATTTTGGTTCATATAATTACTTGGGTTTCGCGCAAAACATCGGTTGTATTACTGATAGAGTTAATCAAACCATAAGACAATATGGAGTGGGCATTGGGTCAACACATCATGAATTAGGTATAAATAGTTTATTAATTAAGTAAATCTTATTTTATGACAAAAATAGGTAAATTAAAAATTCACAAACAATTGGAGCAATTGTTTGCCAGATTCTTAGGCGTCGACTCATGTATTATGTTTGGTATGGGTTTCGCCACAAATACAAACAATATACCAATTCTTGCGGGAAAAGGATGTCTTATATTAGGTGACCAATTGAATCACGCGTCTCTTAAATCGGGAAGTTTTATATCGGGTGCAACTTATCGTACATTTCCACACAATAGTAATATTAAATATTTTAAATAATAATTTTAGTTTATAGTAATGATATTTTAACAAAATTTAAAGATATGTGTGAATTGGAGAATATTATCAGAGATGCCATTGTTATCGGCGATCCAATAACTGGACTGAAATGGAAAAAAATTATTTTATTAGTAGAGGGAGTCTATAGTATGGAAGGAACTATATGTAATCTACCTGAGCTAATATGTTTGAAAAAGAAATACAAATGTTATCTATATGTCGATGAGGCCCATAGTATCGGTGCCATCGGTCCCAATGCTCGCGGAGTAACAGATTTTTTTGGTTGCAATACAGAAGACATAGACTTAATGATGGGAACACTGACTAAAAGTTTTGGTGCATCGGGTGGTTATATTGCGGGACACAAACATATTATTGATTATATCCGCATCAATACGTATAGCGCTTACGCAACTAATATGTCGGCACCAGTTGTACAACAGATTATATCTGTTGTAAAAATACTAATGAAACAAATGGGAGGCAATGAAGGTATAAAAAATAAACTAAATTTTCATAATATTTAAACATTTTTTACTTATTATTATTAACTTATTTATATATTTTTTAGGAATATTAAAAGTTCGACAATTATCTGAAAATACCCGATATTTTCGCAAACGATTAACAGAAATGGGTTTCATTATCATTGGACATCCAGAGTCACCCGTTATACCTCTAATGCTTTATTTTCCATCAATTGCAGTGTAAGTAACAAATATTATAATATAACAAAATTAATTAAAATATTAATTAATATAATTAATATTTCCAGAGTTGCAGTTAAAAATGGTTTGAAAGCTGGCATCGCTACAGTAGCTGCCGGATACCCGGCCACATCACTAACCACTACTCGACTAAGATTATGTATGTCTGCTTCACATACAAGGGAACAGTTAGACAAAGCACTTGATATTATTAGTGACATTGGAGACCATTGTTGTATTAAATATGCTAAATATTGATTTATTATAATATTTAGTATTTTTAAATAATGATTTATACAAATATAAATTAATAAATATATTTATATTTGTCTATTAATTAAAATGTAATTTATATTGTATATTTATATGTATATACAAATGTATATATGCATGATGTAACAACAATTGATTAATTATTAAAAATATAATAAACTAATAAATAATAATTTAAAATAAATATAAAAAATTCTTATATATTAATATTTTTATCAATTTTTAAATAGTTAATAATATTTTATAATTTGAATACTATGTTAATTTATTTATAAATTAATTCAGAAATTAGATCTTAAATTTTATTGAATACTTAAAAATATTGAAATTCATTATTAATACAGTCTACAAGTTTATAGTAATTTAATAATATAGCATATTAAAATGTTTTAATTACACACATTGTGTTATTTTAAATATTATTTATTTGTATCAATTGTAACCATTGTTTCAATTTTACTGTTGTATATAAAATACAATTAAATTCAAATACTAAGTGATTCTAAAAGTACACTAATTTTGTTTTTAATGTATTTAAAACAGATGAACAAATATATTAATTAGAATAAATAACAAAAAGTCATATAACTATTAAATATTCAAACAAACTTTGAAAAAGTGTGTTTTCTGGAATATATATACAGTATATATATAGGGGATCAGTATTAAAAATGACCTATCTCATAAGGAACATGGACAAAATGGCGACCAAAATTAAAAAAGTGCAATTTTGAATTTTTGACTTTCATATTCATATAGATCCTATAGATCATAGAAAATAAAATGTAGAATATGATTGTCTGTAATAGTATTTACCTATTATTTTATGAACATTGGCAAAATCTACTTTTTTAATATGACCCAACTCATTTTTAGAATATATATATATGTAGTCTATTATGTAGAAATTAATTAATGACTACTAAATAATTAATAGAAATACTAACTAAGAAAACTAAGAGTTAATAGAAATAAATATCAGTAATAAATTTATTGGATATAATGTAAATCATATAAATATTAATTATAAGTAATAATAATAATAATAATAATAAGACTCATGTGGACTAAAGGTTGTCAGTAATGAATATGTGGTGTATTTTATTATTTATAGGAATAATTTATGAAATTAAAGTTTGTTTTTGGAAATGCTTTCTAGCATTCCCAACTAGTTTTATATGTTAATTATAGAAATTGAAAATTAAACAATGAAATATTTACAGTCAAATAATTTAAATAATGCTTGAAATATATTTAATCAGATTAATAAATAAATAATTTCGTAAATATTTTAATGATAAACAATATAATGTTACATACAGTATTTTTTATTTGCATATTATATAAACAGTCTATATTTTATTAATTTTTTTAATAATACCATTATTTTAATTATAATATTTGAAACAATAATAAAACTTTGTGTATTCATATGATTTTTAATACTAAAACAGTGTAATAATTGTAACAATTATTTTTGTGTTACAACTGTAGTGACTTTAATCAGTTTGAATAAAATTTGTTTAATTTAATAAATATTGTAAATTAGGTATACTATCATTTTTTTTATTTATTTAACAAATAAAAAATCAATTACTAATGATATTTATTTTTCTAATACTATTATTTTTTAAAAGTTGTTTTTAAAATAACAAGTATTACACTAATTTATAAGTTATACTGTACTATACTGAGTGAATTGACAATTTAGCAATATAATGATAGTTGTAAAATAAATTTAACGAAAAATTTTCTAATGTTTAAAAAAATTAATTCTAATTAAATAATTTTTTTAATTTTATACATAAAATAAATTAATTTCTTATTTAATTTACTTGCGATTTCTTAGAATATCTCAAATTTGATCCCAATTAATATATTTAATAGATGTTTGTATATATCTGTCATTGAAAATACAGTTTAATTAGCCAAACAATTTATAAGTTATTAAATAAAAAATCAATTTTGACTATAATGGGATTTATAGTTAAAATAAAAACTTTGACCTCCAACCCCCAAAAACATTCGTATTTGGGATAAATTTTAATAGATTTTTTTAGTGATATTATAGTTTCATAATTGTAAATTTGTTTGACTTTATATCAGATTTAAATTGATTTTTCGATATAATTACATATTTTTAATTCAATTCAACAATAAGATAATAAATATACAATAAATTTTTATAAATTACAATTTTAATTAATTCTTATAAAAATTAGTTAATACTTATTTTATGTCATAATTTAAAATAAACACTAAATTTAAACATTGTATACTATTATATAAATAATGTAATGGTTAATATAATATTATTATTACAATATATCTGTTGTAAAAATACTAATGAAACAAATGGGAGGCAATGAAGGTATAAAAAATAAACTAAATTTTCATAATATTTACACATTTGTTATTATTATTAACTTATTTATATATTTTTTAGGAATATTAAAAGTTCGACAATTATCTGAAAATACCCGATATTTTCGCAAACGATTAACAGAAATGGGTTTCATTATCATTGGACATCCAGAGTCACCCGTTATACCTCTAATGCTTTATTTTCCATCAATTGCATTGTAAGCGATAAATATTATATAACAATAAATATTTATAAATATAACACAATTAAAATACTCAGAGTTATTGTCGATGAATGTTTGAAAGCGGGTATTGCTATAGTGTTTGCCGGAAACCCGGCCACATCACTGACCACTTGTCGGCTAAGATTATGTATGTCTGCTTCACATACACGACAACAGATAGATAAAGCACTTAAAATTATTAATAAAATTGGAGACCATTGTTGTATTAAATATGATAAATAATTATAATTAAGATTATGATTAATTCAGTAATTTTCTATTTAATTTAACTTATATTTAGTTTTCCATAATATTTTTTTTAAATATGAAATTTTATAATATGTTAATTTTAAAAAAAAATTTTTGTAAACATTTGTTAGTAAAATAGTAATAAATAATAAAAATTAAATTTATATCATAATTAACAGCTAATAATAAATTCTAAAAATAAACTAAAATTATTTATTATTATAAAAGTGACTGATTTTTATATAATTTAATATATAACTGAAATTATTATAATTTATAATAATTATCGATAAATTTATTTGATATTTAAATTTTATTATAAGATAGTTATTAAAATTATTTATTAAATAAATTTAATATAATTTTTAAGTTTATTGTTATTAATACTATTGCCGTTAAATGCAATCCCAAAAACACAGTGACATCTGTTAACAGCAAAAACAGTGATATAAACAATGTTTTGTAAAGCAATACATGTATTGAATGAATGAATGAGTGAATGAACAACACGTTGTTGTTGTTGTTGTCTTCATATTATTGTCAATCAATCGGATCCACAAAAATCTGTTTTGTAGACCAATTACCAGACTATATATCTTTTGGAGATAATGTCCGCATCGGCTGTCGATATGGAACTGAAAAAGGCTTTCCAAGAACTACAGGTTCAAGTGATTGAAACTCGCAATAAAGTCAAACAAATTGACGTCCAATTGGATGGACTGAAGAGATCGTCACAACACTCGAAGATTACTATCCAAGAACTGAATGGTCTGCCGGACGATACAAAAATGTATGAATCAATTGGCCGTATGTTTGTCTTGAGAGACAAGTCAACGATCAATCAATTGCTCGATCAGAGGATTACCGGCAACGAAGAAAAGTGTCAACAATTAATGGCCAACAAGTCGTACAACGATAACAAAGTAAAAGAATCGGAAAACAATTTACGGGAATTGATTAACACTAAAAAACTTACACAATAATGGCATTTGGCCGAAGACACACCCGATTATAGTGTGGTCATCGGTGGACACACACACACACACACACTGAGACACAAAGATTATATCATATCTGTTATGATTATCAAGTGGTGTGTCTTATCTATCAAATAATATATAATTTTATCAATTTCTTTGTCAATTATATTTTAAATATTTTGAAATATAAATTTATGAACAATTTTTTGTTTGTTTGTTTGTTAAGCTTAAGAGAAATAAAAAAAACAACATTTTTTGTTTTATTCATAGATTTTTTATAAGTTTTTTTTCAGTTGTATGCTTTGTAAACAAAAAATTTATTATTTAAATGAATGAATGATTTTGAATGAAAAACCATATAATATTGAAATACAAATTCTGTGTAAGTTTTGTATTTAAATTATGTGATAATAAATAATAATAATAAAAAACATAAGAGATTTTTTTATGATAACACTTTCGGATGTAATATCTATTTATTACTTTTTTGTTTAAAAGAAAAGAAAACAAACAAAAAACAATAAAAATTTAAATCTTAGTGTAATTATATTTTAAATGTTCAGTCATTATATATATATATATATATTGACCAAACTTTTAGCTCATATAATATTTTATCAGTTCAATGGTATTGTAGTTAAATTGTTTGTACTGTAATTTATATAACATGTCTTATACTGTATATATCTTGACATTAATTTTGATTTAATGAATACTCAGACAAATTATATTTGAAAATCTCTAGTAATTAGTGGTTATTATGAAGAAGTTATCGGTGTTATGTCTGGTGTCTAAATAAAGCCTATTAACAAAAAAAGTTTTGTATTAATATAAAAAACAGTTTTATGGACCACTGGAATGGCATTTAAATGATTAGATCATGAAATCACTATTGCTTTTCAACATAGAAGAGAGGGTCGACCTGTCATTAATGACCCACTCAGACATAGTTACTACTGTATAGTAGGGACAGGAGGCCAGCAGTTTGTGAGAAAGTTATTTTCATTTATTTTGTTGTTATATCGACGGCACATGTATTATATGACTTACCATAAGAGATACCAGTGTTGATGATAAGTGTTGTCTGAAGTTAATGACACACAGCTTCTCAAATGCCTTGCAATGAATGACTTTGACTATCCATAGATGTAATTGAGATTAATTAAGACTTCCATGAAATATAGTGTGTTATGTGTTGTCTATCTTATCATATGATTTAAGTTTTAATATTTAGTATTAATTGATATAAAAAACATTTTATTTTTCTTGTTGAATAATTGAACCAAAAATTGTTATTACAGTATATCTAATAATTAAGTGATACTTGTTTTTATAGTGAAAGTACTATAAAAGGTGTTATTAATAGACAATTAATGCAAATTTGATTAATGTGTTTTTATCTTGAAATTATGATTAAACTTTGCCAAAACTTACTTTTAATGTCTAAATAATAGTCGGGTTTTAATCTTATTATGTAATCATTTTTGAAATACAAGCGAATCTTTAATAATATTTTTGCGAGAAGTCGGTGATTGTATTAATGGTTTTCACAGAATTTTTAATGATTTTATTTCATATTTTGTAGTCTCTCTCTCTCTCTCTCTCTCTCTCACACACACACACACACACACACACACACACACACACACACACACACACACATACACTCATTTACTATCAATGGTGTTGTCTATATTTAAAATAATTATTTAATGAATGCAAAAATTTTCACTCAAAAAGCTATTATAGTAATTGCGATAAAAAATAGATCCAAACTTTCAATAATATCTCTTACATTATTTATTAATATTAGCATACAGTAAGTATAAGACAATCATTATTTCATAAATTGGATATACAGTACAGTAGTTTAACTTATAATATTATAATATATCAAATATATTAATATTATAGTTTAAGTACTAGTTTTGACTGAATTTTTAAAATAACATTTGTATCAGAATATATAAATATTTTACACAAATAAGTCATTATTATGGATAACTCATTATGATGATGATAAAATACATTGTATGTATAATTATTTAAGGAAAAATTTTTTAGACAAACTTTGATTGTCTATAATTAATGTTAATTAAAAAACTAACGCTTATTAAACATGAAAATACTAACTTGTGTTGATATAACTTATAAATACTTATTGTTAGTAAAATATAGTATTTAAAAAAATATAATGAATAATGTGTTAATATATGTGAGAGAATATACCAAATTATTGACATAAAATGATTAAACAATATTTGTTTGAAAATATTTTTGTTAACAAATTCTATAATATTTATTTTATTTTGTTATATATTATTATAATTATAATTATAATTATTATATTTTGTTTTGTTGTTAAATAAAAAAATAAATCACATTTTATACGATTTTAGTTCTTATAATGTTCACGGCTTTCATGGCTAAAATAATTTGTTTAATTTTTATTGTTTGTCTGATTGAAAACTGAAAGTAAAACAGATTATAATAAACGAAACATCAAAATAATTAATTATTAGTGATGTTTTATATCACAAAAAAACAAATAAATAGCAAAAATAAATAAATAACTTTCAATCAAATGAAAATTTAATAAGAAAAACATTTACAAATAATTTGGTAATTTATATTCACTATTTATTATTGTTATTACCAGTGCTATCGAAACTTATGTATCCATTACTTAATATAAAATAAAATATATTTTTATTTTCTTCAAAAAAATGTTTAAAAAGTGAAACCTTTTGTATAAGAGAAAGAAGAGAGAGAGAGAGAGAGAGAGAGAGAGAGAGAGAGAGAGAGAGAGAGAGAGAGAGAGAGAGAGAGAGAGAGAGAGAGATAATAAAAATAATGAAATATATGCAAAATGAAGTATTTAAATATTAGTTATATATAAATGGCAGCAATAAAAAATATTATATAATTATTATTGGTTACTAATGATAAAAATTGATAGTAATTGTTGGTGTCAGTGCTAAAGATTATATATACAGTATATATATATATATATATATATATAAAGGATAATATCATTTTTTGTGTGTATACTTTATAATTAACATAATATAATATATTTAAGCAATAAAACAAAGTGCTATCAAATATAATGTGTGGTCTCTTCTTGTTTTCCATGCGTTATCTTATTTGAAATCATTATATGTTTTTTTGAAAGACATTAATATTTTGTTGATGAATAATGTCGTATAAATATTTTTAAAATACTTATATAGTAATAATAATAATAATTTTTATAATAGCTATACTCGTGTGCAGTGAATAATGTGTTTTTTAGGTTAAATACAACTTTCAATTTCATGTCATAATAATAGTCAAAAATAAAAAGATTTTTTACTTTTTTGGTTGTTATCTCTTATTATTATTATTATTATTATTATATGATTTCATAACAAGAATTGTTTGCTAAATAATTATTTCTCTATTTTTTTAGGGAAAATACTTTTTCAAACTTTTTAGTTATTTCAGTACATTTCATATTTTATTTTTACATACATATAATCAAAAGTTAAATAATATCTCTAATCTATTAGAAAAATAAAATAAATCTAAATCTATATAATGGAGATAGCCTTGAGAGTCCAATCATACCAACAATAAAAACACAATTGCTATCGAATTAAATTATAATTAGGGTTCGGTTTATGGCCTATTCATGTATGCTCCCTGTGCTCAATAGGCACGGGTAAGCATTCAATGCAATTCATAACAAGTTAGGGCTAAAGAAATAAAAAAATATGATTATAAAAAAATCAAATGCTATATTTTAAAATTGGTTTGTTTGCCCATATATTTATATTATATACTGTATTATATTATATACTAAATATATACTGTAAATTATATCAATGGAATAAAAAAAATTGTATTACAGTAATTTAAAAAATAAAATAAGACCAATAAAAATAAGCAATAAATTTGTGTTTAAACTTAATTATTGTTATATATATTTGTATATAATATGCAATATTTATTGAAATAATACAATAATGTATAAAAGAAAATAAAAAATTAAAACCTAATTTTTCTCAAAGCTTTAGCCAAAATATTTTTAGTCAATGTATTTTATTTTTTGCAAATAGTGAGTGAGTGAGTGAGTGAGTGAGCGAGAGAGAGAGAGAGAGAAAGAGAGAGAGAGAGAGAGAGAGAGAGAGAGAGAGAGAGAGAGAGATGGAAAGAGCCAATAATTTATGTGATAAATAAAATCAAACTACAAATTAAATATATTGTTTTTCTCTTGAAAATGATTACTAGTTTGGTGTATAATCAGCATATATATTGCATTTAATATTGTATTATACAACAAAAAAATCGATGCAAAATTAATGTTAGAAATTTTAAAAGTTTTTAAGTCGTTTTTTTTGAAAAGATATTGCTCTCATGAACTTACAATTAGCCCATACTTTAAAAATACTTTATGTACTCATATGAACTCTTATGGTTATACTGTATGTTGTTTGTGGTGTTGAAAAATATGCTTTCCATCCAACCCTTTCAATATAAATGACTAATCCTTAAACATTAGTTCGTCAAATAAAAAAGTTATCCCTATTTAGCATCCATTTCCCTTTGGGCCCATTTTTCAGATGAATAAGCAATACTTGTATAAAAAAATTTTTGTACCATATATTTAGCTATAGAATTAAATTTATCAGAGACTTAAATAGTATATAATTAAACTTTAAATGTTTTAGAAATTTTAATATTTTTATTAGCAAAATAAGTGCATTAATTTTTTAATTTCATAAATACACTTATTTTATATGCTATATCTATGCAATATTTCAGATATTGATAAAAACAAAAATAAAATCAACTTATATTAAGTATTTGCTTTAATCTTACTAATATGTGTTATTAAATGTTAAATTGAGTGAACCCATTGAAGAAGTTTTTTTTTAAAAAAGGGTTATTTGAAATCAGATATATTTTAATACGATAATAGTTATCAGATATACTATATATATAAATATAATGATTAATTCAAAATAATTGCCAAAAGATAAATGTAAAGAGCGCTCCGGTATATGTTTTGACTAACCTTATCATTTGAAATGACATCTTAAAAATTAGTAATCATTTTTAAAAATATTATTAAAATATATTTTATAAACTTTTTGTTTT